TGGAGTTCTGATTTAGATAAAATTAGATTAGATCATCACCAATATTTCTCAACCTTGTGTCCTTCAAATTACACAAAATTCCGATTAACCATTATTGGGTAGGTCTAATGAGAACTGATTGCCTTTCCTGCCTATGATGCTAAGAAACTTGACATGCAAACAACCACTTCAGTTTGAACAAAACTATCTATATTGTTTAGTCCATGACACTTTTGAATCTGTTTACTCATAAACCTGTTTTATCCATTCTATTTTTCACTATTTCTAACATTGCATTTTCTTTCAAAATGTACAATTCAAAAAGTTAGGAGAAAATATTCTTTTTTTTAAAAGTAACATTTTAAAATAAATATGCATTGATATTGGTTTAATCTATACCCGGGTCACAAATTTAGAACATGTAAAAGTGGATTGATAATTTCCAATGTGTACAGGTAATCCCCGAGATAGGAGCATTCACTTAACACTTGTTTAAAATTACGCAATCAGTGCCCCCTAGTGTTTACAAGCAAGTCCCAAAATTACAAATACTGCAGCACCATGGCAGTTGTTCACCCATACAAATGACTGCAGAGGTTCTGCAACATTCACCCTATTCCCCTCCCCACTCCCCACAACTGCTTCCCTCTCCCTTCCTGCCATGCCGGACTCTCCTTGCAAAAATCTGTCTCCTCTCTGCTGTGGTTTCTTTCCCTTTGAGGGAGAGGAGAGTTGGCTTGAAAATGCTTTTCGCGCTGACAGTGGAAGCTCCTGGATGCTGTGATATTGTGAGAGTTTAAACACCCATTCTCTGCAAAAGAGAGCATGGCCCCTGGAAGCTTCCATTCTCTGGAGGGGAAAAGTGATTGCCTTATTTGCAAGCCTATGGGGCAAAATCGGAGTCAGCCGGGCGCAGGAACCAATGCCATCCATGGCCCGGGTGCAATGCTCACTTGCGTATACCAGCCTTAGTTTGAGGGCAGGAAGGAAGCCTTCAACTGAATGCTGGGGAGGTGGAATCATAGCTGCTCAGATGCCTGCCGCTACCAGTGGCTTGGGTGCCCTGGTTCTGTCTGAGTTGGAAGAAAGTGGAGGTGAGGCATTAGAATTGCTCTCAAACATTAAGAGCCAGATGTGCTGCTTGCTCTTGTGCACTGGCCTTATTGAAAGCAATCCCGTTGCTTGCTTCCACTTTCTTTCACTCAGACAGATCCGAGAAGCCACTGCTGCCCAAACACTTTTTATCCAAATGGAGACCTGACAGAGATTTGAAGGTCCCTGTGCCTGCCAATGGGGTGCTTCAAAAATGGAGAGGAACATTCCATTTTTGAAATGCCCCATTGGCAGTCACATGGAGCTTCAAAATGCAGTGAATCCCTGCATTTTGAATTGCCCTATAGGTGCTGAAACAAATCCAAATGGAGATCTGATAGGGATTGGAAGGTGTGTGTGTCTGCCAGTGGGGTGTTTCAGAATGGAGTGTTCCTCTCCACTTCTGAAGTGCCCCATTGGCAGGCAGATGGACCTTCAAATCTCTATCAGATCTCTGCTTGGATAAAAAGTGTTTGAGTGGCAGCGGCTTGGCTTTCTCAGCTCCGTCTGTGTGGAAGAAAGTGGAAGCGCACGCGAGCGAGCAGCAAACTCAGATCTTATTGTTTGAGAGCAATCCTACTGCTGCGCCTCCGCTTTTTTCCAACTCAGATGGAACTGGGACACCCAGGCTGCTGGTGGCAGCAGCCACCTGAGTGGCTATGATTCCACCTCCCCAGCACTCAGTTGAAGGCTTCCTTCCTGCCCTCAAACAAAGGCTGGTGCACATGAGTGAGCAGCACACCTGGGCCATGGACGGCATTGGTTCCTGTGCCCGGCCGACTCCGACTCCACACTTTGCCCCTTAGGCATGCAAACAAAGCAAACACTTCCCCCCCAGAATGGAAGCTGATCTCTTTTGCAGAGAATGGATGTTTGAATTTGCTTGATATTACAGTACCAAGGAGCTACCATTGTCAGCGTGAAAAGCATTTCAAAGCCAACTCTCCTCTCCCTCAAAGGGAAAGAAACTTCAGCAGAGAGGAGACAGATTTTTGCAAGGTGAGTCCCACGTGTAGGAAGGGAAGGAAAAGTATGAAGTATCTTAGTGGTTGGGGAGGCCTTGGGGTCCTGTTACATCATTACCCCCCCCCATGGCCTTCCCCACCCTGAGATACATCATGTGCACTTAACCAACCACATTTGCACGCATTTGATTAGCAAATGTGTGGGTGAAAGCAGGGAGTGATCTTGTTCAAGGTACAAGATTCACTCCCACGAATTCTCAAGTTATGAATGGAATGGGCAGGCCCCATTATTTATTTATTTATTAAAATTTATAAACCGCCCCACTCCCGCAGGACTCCGGGCGGCTAACAATAAAAACACAATATAACTTAACAAGACAAACAATACAGTAACATTCATCCAGGGGTCAGATTTTATAAACCCCAGGCCTGCCGGAAAAGCCAGGTCTTAAGCAGCTTGCGGAAAACCAACAGAGTGGAAGCGGTCCTAATCTCCGGGGGGAGCTGGTTCCAAGACGTGGGCGCCATCACAGAGAATGCCCTCCCCCGCGGCCCCGCCAAATGGTACTGCTTGGCCGACGGGACCTGAAGGAGGCCCAGCCTGTGGGATCTAACCGGACGAAGGGAACTATGAGGTAGTAGGCGGTCTCGCAAATAGCCTGGCCCAGAGCCATATAGAGCTTTAAAGGTAATAACCAACACCTTGAATTGGACCTGGAGACCAATAGGCAACCAGTGCAGCTCGCGGAGGATAGGTGTAACATGGGTGTACTGAGGAACACCCGCTATCACTCGCGCGGCTGCATTCTGGACCAACTGTAGTCTCCGAATACTTTTCAAGGGTAGCCCCATGTAGAGCGTGTTGCAGTAGTCCAAGCGTGAGGTGACAAGGGCATGAGTGACTGTAAGGAGAGCCTCCCGGTCCAGGTAGGGTCGCAACTGGTGCAACAGACGAACTTGTGCAAAGGTCCTCCCAGCCACTGCCGTCAAATGATGTTCCAATTTCAGCTGTGGATCAAGGAGGACACCCAAGTTGCGAACCCGCTCCAAAGGGGGTATATTTTCCCCTGCTAGAGTCAACACTGGACAGTTAACATGATCCTTGGGAGGCAACATCCAAAGCCACTCGGTCTTGTCAGGATTGAGCCTGAGTCTGTTAACCCCCATCCAGACCCTCACGGCTTCAAGGCAACGGCTCATCACATCAGCCGCTTCACTGAGAGAGCTCGGGGAAGAGATATATAGCTGGGTATCATCAGCATACTGATGAAACCTCACCCCGTGCTGTCTGATGATCTCACCCAGCGGCTTCATGTAAATGTTAAATATTCATAAGGACTACCTGTACAACAGATCAGGAAGAACAAATCAGATCAGTAAATAAAATCAAAGAGTCAGTGTAGTTAAGGTGTGAAACTGGGACTAGGAAAATCCATGTTCATCTATTCTTGAGCAATAGATGTTCACTGGATGATTGAGGATCAGTTACTCTTAGTCCAACTTACATCTCACAGGGTTCTTATGGTGCAAGGACCTGGAAAAAGAGAGCACTATGTATGTTGCCTTAAGCCTCTGAACCGAAGATCAAACACAAATCTAATAAATAAATTCTTCAAACATCTTACTGCAACAAAGCAAAAAACCAAAAAGTTTGAAAGCACACATTGCAGAGTCTCCAATTAGGTGGTAATTGTTTCAATTTAAGAGTTAGTTAATGTCAGTGTTTCTAGTATAAGTACCTATTGGATGTCAGAACTATCAGCATGTAGCATCATTAGCCAGATGCTAGAACCCAAGGGTCACAACAGAGCTGAAATTTAACTTTGACTTTGTCCATCACCGGCACTCTGTAGTTCACTTAAAAAACTGCCATTTATATTTTCCACAATATTACTGACAAAGTATGGTTCTGATCAAATGTCTGCCTAAGGACTCTCACAATGCTCAGTTTAACATTTAAGCTAATTAGTGTGCTACTGCTGCCCTCTGCTGCCCATTAAGAAGCTGTCCAAAGAAGTCTATAAGCGGCCCTCAGGTTAAAAGCTTGGAGCTGCCTTTGTCAGGCAAACACACCAGCTTCAGCTGAAGCACTTCCACTTTATCTCAGGTGTCATAGTTACATTGAAAAGTCATCTCAAAGTCAGCCTATGAAGGTTTTAAAATTAGAGCACCAAGTTGAAGATGATTGCTATATTTTCCTATGTATTTCTAAAAGTAAACATAACTGGGCTATTTATATTTGCAATGGGGATTGTAGCAAAACAAAAACAAAAGATTGTTTTGCAGTAATTACCTTATGTTTTTAGATACCTAGCATATTACATCAGGGATGTCAGACTCGCAACGTCATGTGACGTGTCGTGATGTATCGCAATTTTTTTGTCATTGTCAGCAATGGGGTGGGCGCAGTTTTGCTATGATGCATCCGGCCCACAGGCTGGCAGTTTGACACCCCTGCCATAAAGTATTAAGGATCTCAGCCCCATTCTCCAATAAAGTTACAGTGGGGCAGTGGAGTAGTCAAAGAGCTTACTTGATGAATTTTATTTTCAATGGTCTCTTAAAGAGCATTCTGGTAGGCTATCCTTGCTGTGGACATTTTTTACTTGGCATTTGACTATTTACTAATTGCACTAACCTATGTTTTATTTCATGATTTATTGAAGTAATAACAATTGATAGGACATGTGTATGTTTAACATATAAATCACAAATTAAGCAACACATAATTATTATGTGCAATGTGTAAATTTATACCATCTTTGCCACTGAAATCTTCCTCATTGTTTTATTTGCAGATTTATGAAATATAAATATAGCTATTTATCACAAATCACAACCTCCTAACAATGTTACTGAATTTGATTCAGCCTTTATCCAAAGGTTTTGTTGCTGCTGCTACTGTTTTTCTGGTCTTCAAAATAAACTAGTTGCTACTGCTGCTTCTCTGGGTAAGTTCTTTTAAATAGTGAATAATTTAAATGAATCCTGGGTTATTCGATACATTTTTCACATCTGTATCATCTAAAAAAGCATCAAGTTTACTGTTTTTCATCTAAGAACTCTGAAGGTTTTTTTAAAAAAAGAACTGTAGAAAATCAAATCCTACCTGTTTTTATTTCATCACAACCTGCTAGTGATTCAGATATGGCCTGTATTATGAGTGCCCTCAGGAAAAGTATTTGCAAGCCACTTCTGCCAATCCAATCAAACAAGGAGATGTTTTCTTCCCTTTCGCCTCTGACTATCCAAGTGTTTTTAAAGTATCTTATTACCTTTGGATGAGCTTCTATTAATCTATTAACAGACATTCATAGCTGCATATTTTCCTTATGTCACATAAAATGCTGAAAACATTATACATCAAAAAGTGGTTTCAAGCTGTTAGGCAACATATGTGCTTCCTGGAAGATCAAGAGTTTGAAGGCTGTTTCACATAAAAGATGCCCGGGTGAAAAGAGACCAGGGCAGAGAAAAGAGCAAGCTTCCCACATCAACAAGCCAGTTTATCATAGTTTCTAAGGAGTCAAATAAGACACAGTGAGTTTGTTTTTTGGAATTTTCTTCCCGCTTTAACAGAAATACAGATGTAGGAAAATAATGCAGATCTTAGAATGAGGTGCTCTTATTGCAGATGAGAGCCATTAAATTCTATTTTTACACAACAAAAGAAATCATCTTTTTCAGTGAAAAAATAGTAACTAATAATATCAATGAATATAATGCATAATTATATGTTAAAATATTAAGAATGAAACAAACAAAAGTGACTAGATATCTCAGAATGCATAAATATGAGCTTACAGGAATTCAAATACCTAGTTACAAACAGACAATCCTGGAAATTATTTCCATCAGGTCACAAAGGACTGGAAGCAAATTGAACAACTTCTTCTATAAATTCCATTTTTAAAAATATTAATAAAAAACTTGAAAGAACAAGGGAGAGTAGTTTTAAGAACTACTGAAGCATCAGAAAATATAAAACAAAAGTTATAAGTTTGGTATGTATTAAATTTCATGAGCTAATAATTATGTGCACCATAATTTCTGACTGAAAATACTTGAGACAATTATGTTGGTATTTTTAAATTACAGATAACATGAGACTTTGAGAACTGAACCTTTAACCACAGTAGCTGAAAATCGGTGGCATAATTTTATGTCAGTTTGAATGAAAAACATTAAAAACTGTACTGTGTGCCTTAACATAGACTTAACAACCAGCCTAAAGAACACACATACCTTCCTACTTTGCATTATCCTCCCCAATTATTGTATGGTGGTTCCCAAACAAGCCCCCCCCCCAAAAAAAATTAAATGTAAACCTCAGCCTTAATATTCCCCATACCATCTTAAACTGAAATTTCAAATTTGATTATTCTACATAAATTATAAAGTGATAAGCATTCTTTTTAATATAATCAAACATAATACACTGTAATAAGTTCTATTCAGTAGAAACTGTACTTGACCTGCATTGACAATATTGTAATATATCAGACATACAATGAATTTTATTTTAAACCATTTCCAGATTTTTATAAGGAATATAAGTAATAAACAAATAAAATAGTTGAAGTCTCTGTTAAAATCACAGATGTAAATAATTCCAATCCAATAATTCCAATCAATTCCAGGAACTGAATAACATCAAGAAGAGAAATCTTGAAACCTTAAATTAGTAGTTTCTCTTCCAAGGAAAACTATTTAATTATAATTATTAACTTGTTTTATTTAAATGCAAAATGAGGAATCAAAAATTACTATGTTGAGTATAAAGATTTAACTAAGTACAAAATGTAAATCATAGAACTTTGCAATAAATATCCAATCCTATTTTAAGTTCTTTTTCTTGCTATACATTCATATACGATAGTATAGACTTGTATTTCAATATCCTTACCTTTTCAACAGCTTTTCTTTTTGTATCCAAATCCATCCAGTCATTTTCATTTTCCAACATGTCTATAAAGGCCCATCGAATTCCTTCAGTCAGCTCTGCCATCTGAAGGAAACATTATCTCCTTGAGAAAGGTGCTATTTTCAATCCAATACCATAGAGGGAAGAAATCTATATGGACAAGTATATTTCTGTGCAAATTGCCAGCGTGGATGCAGTTGTGCATCTAGTTATACATTCAATATTTGCATTATTTTGCTCCCAGCCAATAACATGGACGAATTGAACATTCTTCAATTTAAGAATAAGAAGTAATAGGTCTATATGCCCTTCAGAGACCCTAATACACTTTAGTTTTCTCTATTCTTTATCCTATAGCCCATTTTTAATATCCTAAAGGTGTTTTGTATTTCAGTTCCCAAATGTTTTTACCCTGTATTGTATTGCCAGCCTCTAATTTCAGTTCTAAGAAAGCTCATACTAACAAAACTGTTTAAGACTGATAAAAATTACAATATTGTTATGAAATGTATTTAGGTTGAAAGAAAGTATGTAAAAGCATCAAAGTCAGATTTTCCTCTAAATATCCATCTGAAATGTGAAAACAAATATTGGCAAAATACTCAGAAAAAATGGAGTAAGTGAAACTTCTAATATCACCTAAATCTAAGAAATAGGTTTAGATTAACATTATTGTATTAAACTTCCATTAATATTATAACAGAATTGTTGACTTCAAGATGCTGCAACACTTCTGTTCCTGTTTCAGTTCAGCTATCACACTAGAAACTGCTGGCTAAAATTGTGTTTTCATATTGATTTATGTAGAAAAAAGAATGCCCTTCTCTAAATGACCTAGGGGACTTGTAGCATCTTACTTTTATGATTCATTAATGTCTTTTTGATATCACATTATTTTTATTCAACATGGAAGTCAGTACAGATCTAAGACAGAATATGACTGAGCATTCAACAATCAAGAGTAAACTGCATCCCAGGGAATAGGTTAACTCAGAGAATATTGATGGCAGAGTAATGTTTCAATTAACTTAGTGCACTAATGAGCTGAACTCCCTGAACTTGGAGGTTGCCAGTTCATATTCTAGATTTTACAATTAGGCTCTGGGGTATATTCTGATTTTTGTGCACATTTGTAGCAATAGTGCTAACAGGAAGAATGTACTTATACCCCCAGAGCTCTTATTAAAATAGTTGAGGCCATTCACACTGCTTAGGCTGTAGGTCAATAATATTGCTAAATATAGTTCATAAATATTGTCTCTTTGTTCAAAGCAGAAATGCAAGATGACAGCCAAGGCATGAGTTCATCAATGACTACATTTGAGAATGCCATAATAGATTATTTGTTTTGTAACAGGCATCTACAACTAAGAGGATATGGGAATGCCATAATTTCATAATGTCTAAGCAGCTGAAACATGATTGATAAGCTAAGGAAATGAAAAGGACCCACTTTAAAAATGAAATAAACCAGAGTATTTATTTACATCTTGTCCATATTCATATTAAACCCCAACATTTCTGAAAGATTTACCACAAAGAGGCATGTACAAGGCATTAATGGAGCAAGCATGCCTAGGGTTATAAATATGCATGGCATTGTTCATTCAAGATTTGATTTACAGTTTTCTTTCCCAATTTTTTTCTACAAGACATTTTGGGTTATGCCTACAGTATATTCAGGCACATTCCAATACATACACAGCCATCACACTATTTTCTGGTGCAGTAAGCAACTTTATACAAAGTACCTGTGAAGCTATGAAATTTACTGTCTTTAGGACTGGCGTAGTGCTTCTAGCTTGCCTACAGTTATGGGGTGAAGGAGGGAGAATTTGTGATCCACAGGTGCTCCCTATCAGTGTGAGAACCGAAGTCACTGAAGAGATGTTTTGGTGAACAAAAGTTTCTTCTCAGAACAATTACTGGAAGATTAATTGGACAATGTGGCCTGAACTGTCAGAGAGGGGAGGGAAAGTTTTATTCTTTTAATTACTGTATCTATTTCCCACCATATTCTCAGAGCTAGCTTTCCTTCTATCGTACCGGTTTGCTAATGCCAGTAAAGTTTACATTAGAGATCACAATGTTTCTGGTGTTTTGCTTTGTTGGGCTTCTAAGCTGGAACTTGACAGTACCATAAAGGAATAAGAATTATTAAGCAAAAGAAGTTAAAGCATAACATAGGATAAAAGAAAAGGAAACAGCTAAAACTATTTGTGTGTGTGTGCATGCGTGTGTGCATGTGCCTTGAATCAGTCTTGCACCCATACTATTCACAATTGATTTCTATACTTGCTTACATCACTCCATTGACCACCTCATATGCTACCTTTCAGTCTTTATGCTTCATACCTTTCTCTTTTCAGGATCTTATTAATGCAGCCAGCCATGTTTTTTTTTTCAATCTTCCCCTTCCTCTTAACCCATACACTGTTTCTATTTTTTTAGTTTGAAATTTGATCTCTTTCATTCTCTCTGTATAACCAAGCTACCTCAAAGTATTTCTTTCACAGTGGTTAGTCACTTTTGTAGTCAATCCATGTTCTGTAATCAAGCATTCTTAAATCATTTTTACTTGTTTATTTTGCCACACATACTTAAGTGCCCGATTCAACATATTTTTATGTTTCTTGTGACACAACTCTCACTTCCATATAACAAGAAACACAGCAGTTTTCCTTCTTGTAATAATTTATTCCTTGCTACAGGCCACACAGCATGTGTGGCCTGTAGCAACATCTGTCTATCTTATAAGATCTCCATCCATTTTATGATTTATGGTAAATATTTTATCAAGCATTGTAGATAAGCAAAGGGACATCACTCTATCTTGTTTTATACTCTGTTCAGTGTTCACAATGATGTGAGTTTAAATTCAGTGTCTTAGTTTTGCGACTCTTGTCTATTTCTGTTATATTGCATATATTTATAAAATTAAAGGATATCCATTAGAAGTAATATGCTCTCTCTCAGTGCTCAATAGGTGCTAGAACAATATTTTCATTGCTAATACATAGAATGCATATCAGTGACTTAGTTTTGATGGGGTTGCAAAACTTGGCCTTGATGGAACGAAACAGAATAATTGGTACCAAAAGTTAGCATGTATACTATGTGAACACAGGGCTATAATTTCCTCAGAATCCTAACTTGAAATGTCTGTATTCCTTTATCTACAGTGATAGAAAACTCAAGCTTTGTGGAATAAAATGGTGCAAAATTGGTACAAAACTATGTTAAATGTAGCAGTTAGTAGTTAAAACAGCTGTTTTTATCTAACTCCGTTCAAAGACAGAAAAACAGTTATTCATTTCTACCCAGCTGGTGCTAAGTAAACTATATTATCTATCTAACCTTATAGATTTCGTGTGGATGTGATTTGTTCCCGAAGCTGGGATTTTTCATTTTCCACAATAAAATAATATTAATTCCCTAATTTTGTATAATTGTTGTACTGTGCTTGTACTATTGTTTACTGTACTTGTACTATTGTTTACTGTGTTGAAACAATCAAACAAATATAAAAAATTAAATAAAACAAAATAAAACCTACCATTTCTCTTTTATCTTCTTGGAAATGTAGTTCTACAAATATTTTGCCAACAACATACGGGAGAGCACTTTCTACGAAGTTTACACATTTATCCCATTGAGGCATTAAAGATCCTGTTCCCTGGATTACCTGTTTGGGTTAAGATTGATATATTATGGCAAGTTCTTGTGTAGCCTTTTCTGTAGCTCTCCTTACCCAATGAAACAGCCTACAACCTTGAGATACAGAGCAACCCCACCCTCTTTGTTTTCTTAAAGGCCATTAAGACCTGGCTTTTCCCTCAAGCATTGGGCCAGGGTGGGAGGTAAGGCCAGCATTTGTGTTTTTGTGATGGAAGCATTACAGCATTGGTGATATGTAAGAATTTTTTATTTTGTTTGTTCTATTAATTGTTAGCCGTACAGAGTGATTTTATATAATATGGTTGGCCATATAAATTTTTCAAATAAGTAAACAAAGAAACTCTAAAGATTTCTTTAAAAAAAAAGCAGTTGTCAAGATCCAAATCCCAATGATCTGGGAAAAGTTAGAAGTTCAACACTCACTGATCTCTACAAAAAATTTTGGTTCAGATGGGCTAGCTGGAATTATAGTAGTTCATGAAATTGGCTATCAAATCATGTCACTGATCTTATAGGCATGGATAACATAGATATTGATGTCCCATACTTACCCTTGAAAATTCTAGCCACCTATATTGAAAACGCCGACTGAGGTTGAATATTCTTGAATAAACCATTCTCCATACCAGATAGTTGGCAATAGTCCTGTAATACATACAAATGAAGACCAACTAGATCTATGTGGTCCAATGTACAGCCACTACTAGAACTATACATAGTTTTTTAACTTTCTTATTCACTGTAATGTCAACTTACTTAATGAACAAAGTATGAATTGACAAAAACATATTACAATAGAATGAAGAGACTGCATCATAACTGCCATAATGTGAATAAGTGTGGACATTTTCCTTTTGAATATCCTGAACTGGGATGTAGTTTTAGATTAAAGGTTTAACAACTCTGGGGTGGATTGAGATGAGAAAGTGTCACTGGTCCAGTCACCCAGCCTTCCTTTTAATAACTTTTATACTATTCATTAGTATAGTTTAATTGATCAATCATGTTAAAAAATTTTGTGGTCACTAAAAACAAATTAAATAAACATCTTGAATGTTTTAGCTGTCAGAGCTTCAGAAAGGCTTAGAAATCAATTTCTTAATGGCATGTTCCACACTGGAACCAAATATATAATTCCAAGGAATATAGTAAGAATATTGTTTATTGGAAAAGATGTTGCTCTGCTCTTCCAGTGTAACTTGTATTATTCGGGACAGTTAATAACTAAATCAATGCAATCACAAGATCAATATAAACTTTAAAAAATAAATTTGATAAAATAGAAATATAGTGCCTCTGCTGTTTGTATCTAATGCTACAACATCTTAGGTAGCATACTATGAATAATGACATATGTTACCAGATCATTTTAAGGCTAAATGACATAAGCTATATAAAGGATGTTAAGAATTAAACGTTGCAAATAGGCAAGCATTTTTAAAAACTTAGTCTGAAAGAATAGAATCAATATTTTGTCAATATATTTTGATCTTTGACTTTGCTTCTTTAAGAAATTATTTTGAGGACTACCTGAATGAGTAAAATCTTGTACACAGAATACCTCTGGCTACAATTCCCCAAACTGTGTGCTGAGGCACCACAGGGCATCACAGCGATCTCACAGAGACACCATAAGAAATCCATTTGCAAAGACAGGTTTTGCAACATCATATTTTTGTGACACTAAAGATGCTGTGAACTGAGAAAGTGTGGGAACCTTTGGGCTAAGGCCTTTTAGGCAGATTATGGTAGACATAGAAACAATCAAGACTTATCCCACCTCCAACAAATGATACCACACAACCATCTATCAATAAACTCAAAATTCTACTGAGCTAGAAAATGCTGTTGTCTCATTGGGAAAGCTTGAACATGATATTTTCTCTCAAGGAAATGTGCATAATTTGACCAGAATCAGCTTGCTTTTATCTTGCCTCACATGGAGCAATGCAGTCTGTCTTTATCAGTTTTAATACAGAATACTACTGCTTTGATAGAATCAGAGCCAGATGGAATCAAGAGGCCATGTTAATCCAATGCCTAGGAGCAAGGCAATGTTATTAATCCATCAGCTTGGTTTCAAGGTGTTACAAACAAGAATTGATTTTTTGTTATAAGATTCCTGAAGAACAAAGACCAACAGATGGCTCAAGTTATAATTGAGAACCAATTTGTTTTAGGGTAGGGCAAAACTAAGGATGATGACCCAGCATTTTCTACCTCAAATATGGAATTATAAAAATAAGGATTACACCAAGGTTCTCCTTTGCCTTTCATGAAGACAGAAAAATTAGTACATATGGACTTTTAAATTTATGAAAAAAATAGATGAAAAAATTAAAGAATAAATATAGTGCAACTGAATGTGGCGTCTAAACTGATAAATATTTTGAAATCAAAACCAATGTTGCTTTCTCTTAAATATTTTTTAAAATAAATAAGTTAATAACTAATTTTTTAGAAGGCAACCAACGAGGATTTTCATTTCAAAACTCCTACTTTCATGTGAAAATGATGGTTTCAATTTAAACATTACAGGACAGAAGAAACAGGCCAAGTCAGGAGCAATCAAATGAGGAAGGAACCACTTAAAAATCATTTTAAGAAGACTCCAGCTATGAAGGTACTTTAGGAACATATACAGATTTGAGTAGAAGGTTATCCAGTCAGAAGCTACTGCTTCTTCATATTCTCATGAAACGGTTCTTTTACTCCTTATTTTTCTCCTTTTTTCTTTGCCAAATAGATAACAGAGTTCATCCCACTGAAATATATTGCTAACATTTATGGGATCTGTACACTACCACATTTGGAGAATCTCATGTTAGGGAAGGCTGTTCTGACAATAATATCTAAATTAAAGTCCTGTGTTTTTACTGTATATAATGCATTTGTTTCTGCAAAACAAGTGGAAAATCATAATAACTTTTTAAATTTCTGTTTTGGTCTTTAAAAAGGAAGTAACTTTGCAAGATTACTTTCAACTCTACCAACATTTCTTTGCATCATTCAGATAATTTTATTGGCATTGCACAACCTAGTCCCATGACAAACTGAAAGAGTTATGCAGGTATATATTATTTCTTCAAAGTGCACCAGGAACCAACACTTTGTTCTAAAAATCCAGCAGAAAAACAACATCAATGAGAAATTCTTACTTTTTCCTTTCTCTTTCTAATATCCTGAATAAATCTTTAAAATACTGCGGCACTCGGACAACCACATTTTCTGAAGCATCAATGTCCTTCAGGTCAGAATAGAGTTTAGTGTCAATCACCTTCTTGATATATGCCAGCCAGTCAAACTGAAAGATATATAAATATTTAGTTTATGGTTCTTACAAAAAAAAAACTTCACTGCACAATGCAAATATTTTGAACTTTTCATAAAAACAGCATTTAACTGTGAACACATATATATTTAACTATTTTAATTTAAACTGCACTTTATGCACATCTAAAGCAGCTTTTAATTTAGAAAGGTATATCCAGTCCAATCATGCATTATCAAAGTTGTTTCCAACCTGTGGGATCATGCTGCTGAGTTCTGATATATTCATTTTGTTATACATAGATTCACTGGTTCGATTCTCATGTGGAATCATTATCTGCAAAGATACATGTAAACAAATATTATGCTACTGAGAAGTCCACTCTGACTCTGTTAACATCAACAGATCATTTGATAGTTCCTTCACTGAGACAACAAATGTTACATCAAACCTGCTGATATCAAACAGAATTATTTTATAATTATACATAAACAGCCACTTTTCTGTATAACTATTTTAACAATTTTCTTCTATATATTATAATTAATATAATTTATGCTTCTAGTTTTTTGCTATTACAGATAACCTCAGTGTCTTCCTGAAGAGAAAAGGTCTGGCCAGCATAAAGAGTCATTGCAGATCTTAAATTTTATGTATTGTTTCTCTCATATTCTTTCAATCAAAAATCTACTAAAGCTTTTCCCAGATATGCACAATAAATAAATCCCTTTAAATTTTGCATTCAGTCTTGCTAGTTTTCTTTTTGAAGAGGACATTAATAGCATTTTTCCAATTATCAGACACACATGCCGAATTCTCATACACACTAAAAAGAAATCATAAAGCCACTCCTTAAGTAAATTATATTCATATTTTACCTAGAGCTTTTCCATTTTTAACATTCTTGCAGTTACTTTACTAGTATTTTTCTTCTCTATGGCATATTAAATATAATTTAGGTTTGTTCTAGGGTTTTTTGCTATTTATGTATAACTTGCAGCCATTCACTCTATACAACACAATTATCCTGAACTCTGACACAAATAATTGTTCTCTATTAAAAGTCCTTATATATTTATCCATAAATAGCTTAAATTTCCCATATCCTTGCAAGATGTTATTGCAAAATGTTTGGTCAGTATATGAATGGTTATTTGTCATTTTGTAAAACATTTATTTGGGCCTTCTTGTTTCGTGATACAGTTTCATGCTTTAAATTGTGTTCTTATTAATTAATCAGCTTTTTGTTTGTTTGTTTGCTTGTTTTAAGTTCTGCTTTAGTTTCTAAGATTCCAACCTGTTTGTCCCTGCTTTATATCTTGAATTTTCAGGGGGGGGGTTGTTTTTTTTCCTGTGGCACTCTGCCTGGTCAATGTCTTGTTTAATGTGTCTTTTGCATTTATTCATTGTGCATTTGTATGTTATAAATGTTATACATCGATGGAAAGATTTAATCCATTATAAACTGTATCTTGTAAAGGTATTTTTATTACTTCAGTCCACTGATAAAGAGATTTATTTGTCTCAAAACATAGTGTCCAGTTTAAAAAAAGTATTTGTACACATATTTCTTTATTTCTGTGCCTTCTAAAACATTAGAGGGAAAGGGCCCTCTCATACTATTCCTGCAAGCCCCTCTAGATATACCAGATCAGGAAATCAATTCTATGGGAAGGCTAAACTTATTTTATTAAGCTTAGATATAATAACATTACCTTGCAAATCTTACTGAATTGTACTTCTTCCTTCTTATATTTCAGTGAATTAGGGAAGCATCTGCCTGAGTCATTTCTGAATGTTATCTTGTGTTGGACTTAAAGAAATATTTTGCCTAGCTAAAGGTTCCTACTTATCTCTATTAAAGTGATCTTGCATCATGATAAAAGTCCCAACCCTGAGTACTGTGTGTGTAACTTTGCAACACAGGTATAAAATATACAAAAATTTCATTACATTTGCTTGATATGTATTTCTATACTTCCCCACTTGCCCTTAAATAAGAGCTAAGTTCTCTTATTTAATAACTATCTTGCAAAGTACAAAAAATAAAATTACATAAAAGAGTAGAAAGTATAAAAACAAGAATTTAAAAAGAAATCTTAAGAACTTACTGAATCACTAGTATCAATAGAATTTAAATCATTGAAAATTATATATGATTAAATATCACTGAAAGTCTATCTGTACCTGCCAACCTGAAACTACCAAAATTTGAAACATCAAAAATGAGAATATTTTTCACTCTAAGTGGTCAAAGTTTATTAAATGTAGTTCACGTAATTTGATTGCAAAAAATTGTGGTTCAAAAGAAGTGCAGTGAAAAGAAGGTCCGGGGTGACATGATAGCAGTGTTCCAATATCTAAGAAGAAGAAGGGGGTCAAGCTATTCTCCAAAGCACCTGAAGGCAGGACAAGAAGCAATGGATGGAAACTAATCAAGGAGAGAACCAACCTAGAGCTAAGGAGAAATTTCTTGACAGTTAGAACGAATAATCAGTGGAATGATTTGCCTCCAGAAGTTGTGGATGTTCCAACACTGGAGATATTTAAGAAAAGATTGGACAAACATTTGTCTAAATGGTATAAGTTTCCTGCTTGAGCAGGGGGTTGGACTAGAAGACCTCCAAGGTCCCTTCCAACTCTATTATTCTGTTATTCAAATGTTCTTCCAAAGACAGATGGATGAAAATAACAGATGCAGAAGAGGCAACAGCAACCAAGATGACACTGAGTTACAAATCTGAGAAAGAACAGTGCTGAATAGAGGGAAAATTCCAGGGTTCTTCAAGACTGGCTACGACAAGTGCAGCTGAAATCTATATTTTAAAGGGCACTAACCTCAGCAATTCTGATTTCCAATTTAAGCACTGACTTCATGTCCAGCTCTGCATGTGAAGCATTGGCACCCAAAAGGACTGCAGTATCAACCATGAACTGGAACAAGGCATCTCTGTACTACAGTGGGGTAAGAATTCAGACATTAATACAGCAAAAAAGACAATAGTTCAACTAGATAACACTTCTTACCTTATTTTACACTGAACCTTATTTTATACTGAATGATCTAACATAGCACGTTATTTATTTATTTTTATTTTTAATTTCAGCAACAGTATTGAATTTTAATATTATTTAATGGGTTGTGTAAATCATCACAAATATTCATTAGCATGCCATTTGCATTAATTAGCAAACATTAAGAAAGTGGATCCCTAGCTTTCTTCAAAAGTTTGGTTTTAAAGGAACCAGGGATGTGAACTTCATCTGTACTTCCTTTATCTTTCTATGCTATCAGGGAATACTTATCTATTTATTCAGAAAACTAAACACAAGAAGAGAACTCAGACTTGTGCAACATATGAATGATTGTAAAATTGTACTCAGCAAGACGCCTTTGGTTGCAACTCATAAATTAACAAGAAGATTGTGCTGCAAATAATGGTCAACATTGAAAAGGAACAGGGTCATGGAACAGGGCAGGGTTATACTGATAATAAGTAACTGACATATTGGTGTGTTGATTGTGCAGAGCAGGGAGAATATGTCAGAATATGTTGAAATATTCAATCGCTATATACCATTTTTTATCTTTCCCTATATTCACCTGCTATGTTGTGAATAATATGTAAATTACTGTATAGATAGTAAGTGACAAGGTATATATTCTCACATAATTAAGATTTTCTTTCAGCTCACTTTTCTTATAGTTTATGTAAATTTTTAGCAGAAATATTTTTATACCAAGTATAGTATACAAAATATAGAAGAATGAACAGTTTCCAAGCCTGGTATTCTGCAGATGTGCTCAAATTTCACCCACAGAATCCAGCTAGCTTTTGGGAGTTTTAATTCCAGATAGGCTGGGGAAAAATTCTGAATGTACTTAGATGATTGAGTAAATAACACTCACAGATTTAGCTTCTGTGGTATTATCCAGGTAGTCTTCTCGTGCTGATAGAGTCAGAGATGCTTGGTCTAACTATATAAATAAAATAAGAATTACTATACATTAGATTTACAATTTGGAGTATAGTTCTTTAACCAGACTTCAAAGATAAACCCAAAGATCTTTGTGAATAGATTTTTAGCAGTATTACAATATCAACATCTAATGTAGTATTATAAATTAAAGGAGGTGGGTAGAATTCAGAATACAGGAAAATGTCCACAAAAGCCTTCTGTATGTTAACACTTTTGACAAAATCTATATGTAAACCCTGAGGAGTTCTAATTTTACAATCGGTTTTTTGCTTCATCCCAAAAAGGTGAGTATCTCATAGCAAGGCAATCTAAGAACCAACATGTTTCTTCAAAAATTAAATAGAATATAGCAATGTAGTTTCTCTAAAGCAGATTGCTGGAAATTAAATGAGAAATTACTGTAGAACGCCTTCAGGAATACTGTTACATATATTTTTCCAATGTTTAGTCATTTACATATATACATACTAATAACCAGATGTCAAGATATTGTTGAACACAGATGTAATGTAATGTAATGTAACAGGATTTATAAATCCTATTAACAAAATTAGCTGAAGGGTTAGTTAAATACAGATTTAAATTATGCTGTACCTTCTTACATATGTGGCTAAGGAAGGAATTCTCTGGGGTACAAATAAATAATTTCATTTGATTTTAAAATAAATGAACTCAAAAAGTAAGGCACAGCTTCAGGCCCTCTTGCTCATGTCCACGTGGTATTACAAAATTGCATTTCTTCTTTCTTGTTTAATTTTGAATGCTAAGTGGCTATCTAAAACCTTACATCTTATCTGCATGGCTTCCATAATTGTACCTTTATATATATTTATATATAAAGTGAATAATTAACTAAATAATGCATCTAAGATGTGCTTATTATCTCTAAGTTTGTTCCTATCTTTTAGATACCATTAAAATCTGCATGGGCTCCTAGACATGTTATAATTAAGACAACGATAAAATAATAAGAAATATGTTGCAGGCCAACAGTGGCATATAGTCACCATCCCAAATGCTTTCTGGAAATGCTGTATTTACTAGTTTTACTACTTTGAAGAAGACTATTAAGGCACTGATTAGACTCCAGGGAAGACTGTCACATAATGCAAGTTGTTGTTGTTGTTAATTGCGAAGTTGTGTCCGACCCATCGCGACCCCATGGACAACGTTCCTCCAGGTCTTCCTGTCCTCTACCATCTTCTGGAGTCCATTTAAGTTCTCACCTACTGCTTCAGTGACTCCATCCAGCCATCTCATTCTCTGTCGTCCCCTTCTTCTATTGCCCTCAATCTTTCCCAGCATTAGGCCCTTTTCCAGTGAGTCCTTTCTTCTCATTAGGTGGCAAAGTATTTGAGTTTCAACTTCAGGATCTGGCCTTCTAAAGAGCAGTCAGGTTGATCTCTTCATAATGCAAGTACCACAATGAAAAAAAAACCATTGGCTGTAATACACACAGGCCCAATTCCCAACGACTTTGTCACTGGGGCCATTACAGAGTTTGTTGAAGAGCATACATCAGATCATTCAATTCCATGTGGAAAAGGTCTGGAGGTACCCAGCAGCCAAGCCATATAGGGCTCTTCAAGATAAAACTAGCACTTTGAATTGCACTTCTATCAATGCAGAATGGCTGTTTCTTGGCTGTTGTGGTTCACCTGCACGCAGACTACAGTACTGCATTTTGCACTATCCAGCTTTTAGAGCAGTGGTTCTCAACCTGTGGGTCGGGACCCCATTTGGGGTCGAACAACCATTTCATGGGGGTCGCCAAATAACGCAGTCCGCCATTTTTTTCCCCTCTTCCTTACCTGTGCTACTCCCTTTTATTCTATTGGCTTTTGAAAGCCAATAGAATAGACTCTCTTGAATAGAGTCTAATTCTATTGGCTTTCAAAAGCCAATAGGAATTGTCCAGGCTGTCTCTGCCCTGCTGAGCCCGCCAAAAGTCCCATTCTGCAAATGGTGCTGCACTAGTTGAGTAGTCCTCGACTTACGACCGGTTGAGTAGTCCTTGACTTACGACCAGTTGGGGGTCACGGCATTAAAAAGGCTGAGAACCACTGTTCTAGAGGGTCTTTAAAGCCAGTCTTGTTTAGAAAACATTGCTGCAGTCCAATTGCCAGCATCTCCTGCTCCAGGTTAAGGACAGAATACTAAATAATAAAATGAAATTAATTGAAAAATGCCATCTGTATGTCTTCCTTAATAATACCTTTATGATGTGCTCATTTGAAGCCTTATCATCTGAAGCCACATATAATCGGATGAAAACAGAATTGCTGTATTGTCCACGAAGAGTAGCAAGGGTCTGGAGCATGCTGAACTTCCTTTCTGACCACAGACCTTCAGGTCCAATGTTTGATTCTAGCACAGGCCAGCGAAATGGAGAATGCTTCAGCATGTTTAGAAGTGGTTTTGCATCAGCTTTTTCTATCTTATCTGGGAGAATTAAAAAAAATCAGTCAACATAAGGCAACATGCAAAAAAAAAATCCACTTCTAAAGTACCTATGATCTGTCTATATATTGTTGGCAACAAAAGCCTGCTTTCCTATCATTATATATATTTCTCTACATCAAGTGAAACCAGAGATTTAGGCTAAAAATCAGTCACTCTGAATAGCTTGTCAAGGCACAGAGAGCAGAAAAATGTACACTCTTGCCATCTGTCTGTTCAGGCCTTGACTACTGTTCAGTTACTGGCAACCTTCAGAGCAAATGCAAATCATCCAAGTTTTTGACTCAGTATGATGGATGGTCAGGTGCTCCACTAGCTGGCCAGCATGTACCAGATTATGGCACTTCTGTATGGTTCTACTGGAACCCTGATTAATATTGGCCATTGCTGTACATAATAGCAGAAGGCGAGGCAGTCTATCTCTACTTCAAATTGCAGTTTTAGGTAGCACCAACAGTAACATAATCTCTGGCTGTCAGATTTCAGCCCCTTATTTTGAAATTAACTTACTGTTTTCTTACATGACTCTCAGACACAATTCAGCTATATTTCCTGACAAGAATAAAACCAAGTGCGAACAGATTTACTCAATGGTAGGATTCAAATATGTGAACAACTGGTTCTCTGTGTGGATGGCACTTCTGGAAGTCCATTCTGGGTCTGGGCAACAAAAAATTAGCTACCGGTTCTGCCAAGTGGTGCGAACTGGCTGAATCCCACCACTGGATTTACTACAAAGACTGGGCATAGGTCTGTCTTCCTAGATTTAAATTCTAGGCTTTATCTTCTCATATTTGAGTTAAAATATAGTTGGAGGGCGTTGGGGCACCTTTGTTGATATAAGAATTTTCTCTGGTCTGGGAATCATTTGTTCTTTCTTCACTAGCTTTTTTCTTACACCGTCTCTCTCCCCTCTCTCTCTGAGTTTGAATGTAACAAATTCTTCTTCTCCTTCCTCTTTCTATTCAGTAGGTGTCTGAAAAGTATTTCCATTCTAGCTAAATGTGAATCTCTCCTATAATTTATGATTCACTGCTCACAAATATGTAGGATCTAGGCTATATGTTCAAATTTTTCCTAATTAAAATCAAAATCAGTTAAATATTCATGACCTCATTCAAAGTTGAACATTCCACTGAGATCCAATTTTATATAAATGTGTGCATTCTGCAGAACCTTTCTCAGTTTTGAAATGAGGGAAAGATAGAAACTTCTACCGTTTACATAGTTCAGGAAGTAATAATCATGGACTACCTATAGGGAGATGTCTTTTTATATATATAAAAAAATTCTTGAATGTAAGAATGGTAAGACTTAACCCTAAAAAATGGTTGGCAGAGCTAATGGACTATATTACATGAAATGGAGGAGTCAATGAATTCTCTGGGGTGCTAGAGAACACTACAGTTGTATTTCAAGACTATTTTGGATTTGTGGAAAGTGAGAATAAATGTCAGTGAGTAGCTCCACATATCTGGGCTTCACTTAGTTTCTGATGGCCAATCTCAGAAACTGTGACTGACTCATTTCTTCCACAATACAGATTTGGAATGTGTAAATCATCAGCTTGAAAAATATGGTCCTCTCCAAAAATGCAATATTTGGTTTATCGACAAGAAGGTGTCTTATCAGACATGTTTCAAGTGGCCTGATCTCCATAATATAGACATAAACCTTTTCTTGGATATTGTATATAGTTCAGTTTCCAAAGTTTCATGCATGCAGGTGGAAGAAAAGAAAAGATGATGTAAAAGAATGGTGGCATCTCTCCTTTTTGTTTCTACTGTGCCATAATTCCTCAAGTTGCTTTTCCACTATAAAAAATTAACCCACCAAAATCTAAATATATGAACACAAATGCAGGCAATATAATCAGTGCTTTATGCCAGCACCTATCAGATCTCACAGAAAAAATATTTTCCTACTTCTCTGTGGCAAACCTAAAATTCCTGCTATATAATCCTTCTTCATTCCTTTTATTTTGTTGAAGCATCATAGATGAAGTGTTAAAACTCTAAAATTTTATTTAACATCCCTCATTATTCTAATACATCATTATTTGATATTAGTTCTTCTTCCCCAGTCTTTCTGTGTGAATCAGAATCCTTCAATCTTTCTTTTGTACCCCTCTAAAGTGTTAATTAAATCATTTCCAATTCCATCCTAACATAACCATGAACTTAGTATTCTTTTATAATAAACCATTTATTCAAAAACCCTGTCTCAGTCTTATTGTTCAGTTCCCCTTCTGAAATTACCATAGTGAGTCACCAATCAATCTGGTATTTCCTGATGTGTTATAATACATTTGTCATTGACACCATCCAGCATAACAAATGAGCAATAAACTAGAAAAAGCGACATTAAAGATTACATATCCCTTAGATATACATGTTTCATACACAAATATCAATAGTACCCTGTGGTACTATATAGTTATTTACTGTAAGTGATATAATATTGCACAAATTGAAGTGCAATCAGAAAAAAGTGCCCCATTGCACATATCTGAAATGTAAAATTCACTGCACAGGTACACTAGGACTTTCTAGATTGTTTTGTACATCTTTTTTTTCTAATAGAGTTGTGCACCATATAGTTTCAACACTATGGAAATAGTTACTCACTCTCATTCATACATGAAGAATAAAGTATCTTGGCCTTCTGTACAGCTTCATTGTCTCGTCTTTTGCTAAGCGGTTTTTCAAGTAGAGCTGTCAAAGAATAGATTTTTTTACAAGATATTTATTATTATCAGAAAACAGATCAGAATGCCACAATGTAGATAAGATGCCTGAATTCTTGGGAATAATTGTGTAAATTAGATTGGCTGCCATGGACATTTTTGATTGAGCAACTTAGAAAATGTTAAACTACACATGGTGAGAAATGTTAGAGTTCCAGTGAACGTTATGCTCTGTTCTAGAATGTCATCACTGACATTAGAATGGATAGTAATACCAAAGAGACTGGCTGAAGAGCTCTCTCTTTCACTTGGTCCAAAATGAGAACTCTCATACAATCTTGCATTGTAGAATACTCCTATTCAGAATTCTAGTAGAGCCAGCAACAATTATATCACATCAGATATAGTTTATCTTTTATTTTATTGGTAAAAAAGTGATGATGTTGGGAACTTTTGGAAAAGCTTCATTCTTCTATAATTATTCAACCTAGGTTATAATTAAATATTGCTCTGTTTCTTATATTACATCATAGATTGCATTTATTATATGAAAGGTTAGGCTGGAATCAATAATTCTAATTGCATAATACTTCCTTAAAGGAAGAAATGTCAGATGTTATTTAATACAAACATTTGAAAACAGAATGAGCATGTATACAATTATGACAAAATAAAGGATGGAGGAAATTGACTATTATTGTTGTTTTGAAACATAAATAAGGAAAGAACTTTTAAGTGTTTTTCCTTTTCCTAAATGATTGAAATACCAAAAGAAGTATATCAAATTAACTCTAATGCAGGGGAACTCTAGAAATGCAGGACTTGATCTGGCAAAGTTAAAATTGTGTCTGAGAAAGAGGGTTTTTTCTCTCTCCATGCTTCTAAGTAAAACAGCTATACACAAGGACATTACACATTTTGAAAGAAATGTAAAAGTCAATTATCTTGCTCCCTTTCTTTAGCTGCCATCTTAATTTCCCTGAAACCATTCTAAATATTTTGAGCTAGTTATCTATAACACATTCCAATTCAATTAACTCAAGCCAGGATTTACATAGAGCTGGAAACAGGAAATGGAAACAGCAGGTGCCAAAGTTGGTATTTAAGTGAGCTCCAAAGTAGTGAAATGCTATAATTTGTCTCATTAGTCATCTGTGCACTCCAATGCAGGTTCAAGGGATTCATGCTCTCTCAGTTAAGCTATCGAAATTATGTACAATTTTGTAAATTCACAAAATTTACCTAATCCTGCCAGAAAGGCAAAGAGACATGTGTAGTTGACTTAGAAAGAGAGAGTGTGAGACAGTCCGTTTGATCCAGCAGTTAAGGCACCAGCTAGAAACCAGGAGACTATGAATTCTAGTCCAGCCTTAGAACTAAAAGCTGGCTGGGTGATTTTGGGGCAGTCACTCTCTCAATTCCTGTCACAATCGATGGTTCAACACTTGGTTGATCTGTTAAAATAAAAAGTGGACCCAGCATTTGTGGAAAATGCTAAGAAGGGAGAGGGAGAGAGAGAGAGAGAGAGAGAGAGAGAGAGAGAGGGAGGGAGGGAGGGAGGGAGGGAGGGAGGGAGAGAGAGAGAGAGAGAGAGAGAGAATAAAATATTGAGTAGATTGAGTAGAATTTATGAGTTGGAATATCCAGTATAAATTCATTTTCCAGCACTGGTTGATCCTGTTCTTTTATACTTTATACTTTCTCTCACCCCTGTTTACTTCAAAGGTTTGTTCTAAGGCTATTATGGAAAAAACCATGATTCCTTGACCATGAAATATATGTAATCAATAATAATCAAGCCAGTTTCCATTTTCCTTCATAATACAGCTACTTCTCAAAAGCAACCATATTCAGTATAAGAATAGATTGCTGTCTTTTCCCTGAGTTACTATTTCTCTACTTTAAATTGCATTTTTCTTTGAATTTGGATCTCAGATAAGGATGAGTTGGATGGAGCCAGGGAAGGGAAGAGCATGCTGCAGATTGTGTTACAAAGGTGCAGTTAAATATTTAGGACCTTTAGAATAGCCATCATCAGTTTAGGATCTAAGCCTAAATAGGATACACTTTATCCTAAGAGTAAATAGTAATCATATCCTGTTAAAATGAAGTATATCCTCCACTAAAAGCTAAATACTCCTACAGGATTCTTTTCCTCGCAGAAAAAGAACTGTTTTGAAACTAACTATATATTTGTGGTAAAGTGTTACCTCTAATCTTACTTGCTATTTCTAGCCCCTGCCACTTTCCCAGCCTACAAACAGTCATAGTTTCACTCTAGGTTTTATAACCTTCAACTTCCTTCACAAATTAAACTTCTTTCATTTAATTTATGAAGGACAAAAATCCTACCTATGAAAATTCAGACCTAAAATATTTTAGCGTTGTTCTTGTCATATCAAGAGTAGAAGTGGTGGGGTGGGGTGATGACATGGCTGTTTCTGAGATTAAGCCAAACATTTTCCTCTCAAATTGTGTCCCCTGAATCAATATTACTCCTCTTTCTTCTTTTCAGTAATTTTAAGTGTGTACTTTGAGGATATTTGCATCGCTTGAGCACTGGTTTCTTGATGCCATTTTTATTTGGGAGAGGAAGTTGTTTTGGGCATTAACTGTCATTCCATATGGTTACAACACATGGAAAGTTATTGACAAACCTCCATTACATCTATGAATCAATATATTTTGAGAAAATGTAGGTTACCATATATTCATAGAAGTAAAATGGTCATAGAAAAAGGGCAAAGAAGAAGGTGCAGAAAGCTGAGAAACAATTGTTTAGTAAGATTTAAATTCTGAATATGGGATGTACATTATTTTACCTTAAAAGCTAAATGTACAACTTTGGGACAAAACACTGAATTTCAGTTTATAATTTATTCACAAGGTGGCCCATTCATGTCAAACCTCTCCGTCAGGGTTTATTGCCAGGCTTTATGTAAGGTGCCCATTTTCTTCATCTTTGGCAGGTGAAACTTTAACCCCAATATCTCAATGGAGCAAAATTTCTTCAGGTTTCACTAGAAAAAGCCTCAAAACATGTTTAGTATTCTAGATCTAGGAATCATTGGGCACTTTGACCCTGTTGTTTTCTTGGATTTTTTTTTCACCCCAGGGCAAGAATAGCTATTATTGACTCCACAATTTGCAGAAAAAATATTCAAATTGATTATTATTACAACATTTTTTGAAAACTACAATCCTCCCCATGAGAGCAGTTGACATATAACATCTCTTTCTCTTTGCTGTGATTGCTTAGGAAAGGGGAGAGCAGCTGAAAAATCAGTTAGTTAAAATCAGTTACTTTCCCCCAATTTTTCTTTCCTTAAATAAAATCTGTGGTGCGTAGGCAAATAATTAGCAGAACAAAGAGCTAATCTCATCATATGCTTTTCTATTAGCATTTCTCTAGCCTAAACATATACAAATCATACAGACAAGCACAGGCTATCCTTCTTTCTATTCTTATGTTTTTAGAAATATTTTCAACTATGTTAGTTAAACAAGGCTTTAGTCATTTTTTCTATAGGTTGTGTCATGTCTCCTACTTAGCAAGTTCAAGCAAATAGATTTATTATGTTGTAAAAGTGTGTTTATTTATAGCTGCCTACTGGTCACAAGTTCACCAGAAGTAACTGTGTGTTTCTCATTGCCTATGTGGTTGATAGATGCAAAAAGGGACAGTTTACTGGTACTGATAAACTGCACCAATAATATTAAGATTACAGTGAAAGGCACATCAATATATGCAAAATGTACATACACCACTCAAAGTTCAATAGAACAGTTCAAAGCCAATGCAATCAATGCATTTTCAAATGTATCTTGAAGGTTCAACTTCAATTAACCAAACTAACCTTGTATCATTGTACTAGGAATTTGCATTTATCAGACCCAGCTTGCATTATAAATCCTTCACAAAACTGTTAGTACTTTGACTGTACTACCAGGCTTCTGCCAGGACTTTTTTCTACAAAAGCAGAACTGAATCCAGAATAGCTCCTTACTGAGACACACATTGCATATTGCCTTCTGCTTTCTCCTAGATATATCCTTTTTCAAATAAATTTGAAAGCATGAAAAAAGCAAGAATAATACTTGGAAGCTGCAAAACTTTTTTCTGAACTCAGGATAAGGTTTAAAAATAATAGCAATTGAAATGGTCTTGCTTCTTATGTCAAAACATTTTGAACATCTTTGACAGAACATGGTTGATCTTGTTGTAGTTCAGAAGTTAAGGAGGATGAAACCTGGCTAACACCAGTTGAGGAGCAGTCAGGGATTATCAGAACAATATACTAACTAGACTATTGAAGAGCCATCTCAGAAAAGTCAACAGCAAACTTTATGTATCATTATGAAGAAAAACAAATCTACAAAGTCACTGGAAGTCTCTCTCTGCTTAATTCTCTGTTATCTTTTTAATACTAAGCAACTTTGCATTTTATGTATCTCTCCTACATAGATCAAATGCAAGGCACATTGTGAATGCAATTTATCTAGAGTGAAATGACTTTTTACTTTGTCTGCATCAACTTCCATAAAAGATCTGTGAAAAGATTGGGTAGATTTTTCTGAATCTGGACTGTAGTTCACTGGCAGAACACTACTGCATTCCGAAGGGTCCATAGTTTGGTGCCAGGATCTTAAAGAGTTAAGATTTGCATCTTCGAGGAAGGAAGGAAGGAAGGAAGGAAGGAAGGAAGGAAGGAAGGAAGGAAGGAAGGAAGGAAGGAAGGAAGGAAGGAAGGAAAATTTGCCTTTTTGATCCCTCAAGGAATAGTTAATGTACATAATACTGTGATAAATGGACTAATAATCTGTGCCCCTTTCAAGCAGGTTCCCAAGACCCTTGCTTTGTTCAGCAATGAATTGCTAAAGTAGAACCTACATTTTTTTTAGAAAACCTCAAACTTAGAATTGTGACTCCCCCCTCCCCCCAGGAACTCATGATTTGACAAACACAGAGACTTTAATTATAACATTGCAACAGTACACTAGGGCATTCCAGAAAGGATTATAGTCCAAGTTCCAAAAACAAGGAGATGCTGAAGACAGACATCTGGTATATTTAGGAACATAGAAAATGCTAAGTATATACTTTGCTTGCTGAAAATAAAAATGGAGCCACAAATCTCTAAAATTAGGTTCAACATTTTTATTCTTGTGCTGGTCCCTTCTTCACAGCTCTATGGAAAGTGAGGGAGGGAGGGAGGGAGGAAGGAGTGATATGAGAAAGTGACTACTCAAAATATAAAAAAGTTCAGTCCTGCGTGGATATGACAAAGACACAGCCTAGCCCAACCTTCCCCAACTTTCCAGATGCACTGGACTCCCCTATCATCAGTCAGAATAGTTAATGGCAACACTCCTTGATGAAGATAGGAACTATACTCCAATCCATCTGAGAACATCAGGCTGGGAAAATCTAGAGTAGGAGTTGAATCTATTCCCTGGGACTACGAGTATCCAGATAGCCTGCCATATTACACACTGTTTTAAAAGTAACCACTGAATTTTACAAATGCACTCTGAAAAGTCTAAACATTCTTTGAAAGGGAAAGAAGCTATTTTCTGAAGGTTGTTTCTGATTATTCAGTTTCCCAATATCATGCTTTTAGTAACCATTTATTTAAGTTTATATTACTGTGATTTGCTAACAGTGATTTCTTTACGAGTCAGTTCCCTTTCCATGAGAATTAGAATCTTAAAAACATTTTCCATTTTCATTTGTGAAATGAGATTGAAGATGAGATAACACAGTCTGTTCCTAAATGACATTTAATTACTATTATTAGGTGCTTTCAAGTGAGATTTGATACCTGGCAACACAGTTTTCTTGGCAAGGTTTTGGGATGTAGCAGATGGAAATAGAATCTATGGTCTCCCAGTTTCTAGTTTGAGTTTCTAGTCTATGCCTTAACCACTATATCAGACTGACTCCCCAACTCATTATATAAGTGTTTACAATTTCAGCTTTTTACAACTAAATATTCCAAGCAACTTTTGAAGCATAAAAAAACTGTAATGGCAATAAATCACTTTCTCTCTCTAGAAATATAAATGCAAAAATTAAACTAGTAAGAATATCCATTTCAGTTGAAACTGTACTCTGTATTTTAATCAAAATATTAAATATTTTAAGTACTTTTAAGCTAAAATACTTCAAAAACAAAACTAAAAGACTAAAACTAAGGTCACATATCCCTTAGATTTTTGTAGGCCCAATGAATTGCTCAAATTTATCTCTTGGACAAATTTGGAAACCTTGCAGTAAGAAACATTTTCAAGAAAATCAGCCCTAGATAAGTAGGGCTACATTTCTAAAACATGGTTCAATTTATTAGATCATATTATGCCTAGCCCCAAAGCAAATGTGATAATATTTCTATTAGTTACAAGGCTAGGATTATGCATGCACTGTATGTCTATGTGCATATGGACAACTGTAACTGGATCACATCGGTTGACCCAACTCCTTTTTTATGTATGCCATTCCTCATAATATTTTAAAACATAGTTGTGCTGAGTTAAAATTCAGGTGAATACATGAGGGAAGACAACTGAAGCAGCAATCATAATCGCTCCTTTTGGTATTTATATTAATGAGTTTTGGAAAGCACAAAGAGAGGGAAAACTAAGATGCATGTTTTTGCTCTTTAGGATGATCAGTATTACCTTGACCCTTCTCCAAGAGCATGTTGTAATTTTTAAGACTCAAGCTTGGGACACATGAAAGGGTCCTGATGTAGTTATCTTATCAGTGATATACTACAAGATTAGACAGAGTATTTCCATTGCAGTGACACGTGTCTTTCTAAACTACATTTTTCTAAGGAATTAAAAACGGTTTTGAGTCTATTATTCCCTTCAAATCCAGAATCCTAGTCTCTTTCTGCAAATCTACTTTGTAGTTTGGTGATTAAAGCCAAAATAAGCAGTTGGGGGAATCATGCCAGTTTTCCCAGGTGTGTGTTTGTTTTTGAACTCCACAGGTTTTTTTGCAAAATTCTTAGGAGAGAACTCAGTAAAACTCAAATATTTTCTGACATATTTTACAGATATTTCATTTCCTTGCTGCCATCAAAGTATTTCCTTTATTCATTCCTATACTAAAACAACTATTTTGTCATGAAATAACAAAATAACAAAAAACACCATTGTCTATAGTGAGACCATAGAGCAATCTAAGAAGTTTTTTGTTATTTTTCTTAATCTGAACTCATCAGTTATATTGTAATTATTGTAATGCCCTGTCACAATAGCTAATGGCTTATTGACAAGCTAGACTAATAAAGAATGTATCAAAGGACCACATGTTTCTTATTATAGCCCCTATAGCTTCAGGAAAATAAGGGATGTGCCCCGGTGCCAGCCACACAATAATGTAGAAATTTGTCCACATTCTAAAATACTGCACAAGCAGTAATATTATATTACAGTATAATCAGTGCATTTATTACTACTGCTATGCTAAATATTCCTTAGATGGGAATGGTTTTTGCTAAAAATAAGGCAAGCCGTTCTTTCTGTTTGCATTGGGTGCATGATCTTATTTATACCTTCTGGAGCAGCTGTTATTTCTCCCTCTATCTTTAAAAGCATCACATTAAATGCAACAACATATTTAAGGTAACATGTAGTTTAGCCCTGATCTCTAAATTCAGCACTCATGACTTCAAATGTTGCTGAATTACAATTCTGAGCATTCTGTGCATCGACTCTGCACAGTTCAACAGACATAGAAAGCTTGTGATCTTCCGTTTCAGTTAATTGGAGCTGCAAGAACTAAATCAGGAAGCTTGATTTACACTCTATGTAAGCTTTGCTTCCTGGTATCTTACATTTTATTCTTTTCAATGGTAATTACTATAACCAGAAAAATTATGGAATACAGAGATAACCCTGAATGTAATTTATATACTTTGGTACACACTTTGTAGATTTTGGAATTCAAGGAAAAGATGATGAATCATTTTGATGGAAAATGAAGTTCAAGCACAAGGTCAGTTAAATACTATATTTCACAATGCATGCAATCCCAAAGCTAAATAAAACTGTCCCCCTGATCCAACAGCATAAACTCCCAAAACTCAGAGGTGGTGTCTCTCTCCTGACCAAAAGAAGTCTGAGGAAATCCTGTGGCTCACATCATGAAGAGCCATGAAAACCTCACTGAGGGCACAAATCATCTCCTTTCCTCATTCCTGGTTTCCCACATAGCCATTATGAGGACAGCTCATCTAGCTAACCTATACAGTTTCTGATTTTTCTACCATTTAATTTGATACATTTGGTTAAAAATGAATTAATACATAAGTATTAAGAAAATTCAAGGGTTGTGAAAAAGGACAGCTCTCTTATGTATTCAGCTTATAGGAGAGCCAATGTGGCTCCTAAGTACATTTATGACATATTAAATCATCAGTTAATATAATCCATTATCCATTCAGTAATTGTTAAATCTTATATATCTGACTTTTAAAAGCCACAATTACATTTGAAAATACATTAGCATGAAATTTATGTTTTAAATACATTCATGATGTTCTCTTTAGTCCAAACACAGGTTACCGTGCTATGATTTGGAATTATTTTGCATGTAGCATGCTTCTTAAAACTGACAAGTTTAAAAGATTTTAATCAACAATTCAGAATGAAATAGTTATATAGTTATATTTTAACAGTTAATAGTTATATCGTCTTGTACAATATATGGGGCTCAAAACTGGAAGAAAGTGTTCTCATTATCACTAGAATGAAAGGTGCAAAGGGATCACTTTTAGGAAGTGCTTGATATTGCACAGGCAATATTGTTCACTTCATTGGTATGGGATAGTGATAGCAGTCACATCTTTTTCAGACTCTTGGAGTGGTTTCTGTGTTCTCTCCTACTAATTCTAGATTCTTATTGTGTACTGCTGCAAAGCCCCAAGTCCTCATTTCCTTGAGGATTCTAAGAGACATGGGGGCAGCTTTGCCACACCTCCTGCACAGCAGCAATCAGGCCTTTTAAAATCAACTAAAAAGCAGCTATGGAGCAGCAACAGTGAGGCCGCAATGCTGATTTGCAGCCTCTCATTGGACAGGGAGGGGAGAATTTGTCAGCTTTAGTAATTTGCTCAAAATGATTAATGGTGTTTTCTAGCATCATCTAACCATTGTGCTGATATAGTAGTATCATTAACAATAACTGGATGATGCTAGAGGTCTTAGCAACTGAAAATCTGTCTGCGGTTAATTATGACCATTCCAAGATTGCTTCTAAGGATGAGGGAAGAGTTACAGTTGCTTTTGGTATGGAACATCTCATAGATTTCCAAGGAGGGAGAAATAAGATTTTTTTCTCTAATCAAGGTCCAGCTAAATAAAAATAATTGTAATGGTTTTTGAAGATTATTGCATCAGTCAAAACCAACCTGTTATTTATTATGTTTTCCAATGCCACTGAAAGGTTGAAATCTAAGTTAGGAAAATGAGCAGAAATTGTGATGGTAAAAAAGAAACTATCACTCTCAATCTCCTTCTCTCTCTTTCAAAAGACAGCAGATACTAAGATAACTTCTTCATTCCCCATGTTATTAAGAACTCACTAATCCTATAACAATTTCAGCCATGAAAGTTCAGGGGAACAAAATTTAGGAAGCAGGACTAACAGTTTGACCCTGTGTCATGTTGATGAGATTGTAAAAAAAAAAGGGGGGGGGGGTTATAATAAAAAGTGCACTTGCCTTCAAATTGGAATCACCTTAAAAATCCGTCTACATATTATGCTAAAGACATAGTGTGCTTAAAGGTTATTCTAAAATAAACAGGTGATCCATACTGCTTACAGAAAGCAAGGGTTAATGGTTTATGCTAAAAAAAAAAACAGCCAAGGAAATGAATAGGATCCACAAATATAAAGAGTGCTGAGGAATAGGAACATATATGACTTCATGAAAAACTGAAATATAGACTTGAATTTGGGTATCCAAACTAACTAAAATATGTGGAACAAAGCAAGGGAAAAACTTTGAGTAGAGTCCTATTAGAAACAAAATGCTTAACAATTAGTGTATAGTATAAACAAAACTTTTAAAGACAGAACTTTATTTCAGTCATTGACCAATTAAAATACAATCAATAAAATGAACAACCCAAAAATTATCCCCTAACAGCAAAAACTACCAGCAACCATTTGTGGGCGAAGCTTACACATAATGTAGCAAAATTTTGCTACTTTCAGAGAAATAAATTTATCTTTACTATTTAATGGACAATGCAGATAAAGGCTATTAGAGTGGCCCAGAAGAGCTGTCATCAACTTGCAGAAAATATCCCTATAAAACTGGCAATAAAAGAGAACATGGGCTGTGGTTTCTATGGTACTCAAGTCACCCATATTCCCAACTTAGATTATGATCTTAAATCCAGGGTTGATTATTATCCAGATGTTCACCTAAGGTGGGATCCAAACCTCAATATTTAATTTTCATTTTGGGGAAGAGACTGTTCAATGTTTGTGCAATATCACAGTGTGTAAGGAGCACAAATCAAAATATAATTTAAGTCAAATATAAACATTGCTCTAACAGTTGTTCACAGAGTAATAAGTACACATACTTATGCAGAAAAATGTCTAGTCATGGGCTCTTTTTCAAATAAGTTTTCACTGGATTGCAGCCTCAATTAATCCAAGTAAGGCTAGGCTGTCAGCTCAATTAAAGTATTTTATTAGTCTCAACCAAGAGCTTTATATGTCAAAATCTTGGCATTTCTCTCTATTTTGTATTGCTTAAGATTACTTGGTTTACATGCTTTTAAATTTTTAAAAATTGTAATGTAATACTTTGTAAACAGTGAAATACAACAGTTTACTGGCAAATTATGCCATCAATCGTGGTGCTTATTTTTAATGCATGAGGGATTTGACATTAAAACATTTCAGGAAAATAAAGTCCTCTGCTGGATTCTGCATTGTTTCATGGCAGTTGTTTTCTATCTACTGTCTTCCAACAAGGCTGAAAGCTGACTGTTAAGAGAGTAGAAATCTAATGCATCTGGAAGATGCTATGGGGGAAGAATATTCCAGTGTAAGCTTCCACCAAAAGCAGTTGTTTTAGAATCTAATTACTGTTCAATACATGTCTAGCATTCCTGAAAGCAGGGCATCCAGTCAAAAAAGTTAGGATGACAACTATAACCATGCTCTCAAAGCACAATCCTCTCTTGCTAACATGAACATAAAAAGGGACTGGATTCAATTGTGAAATTGCATCTATCCTCTTTATATTTTTGAACAACATTGTGGATGTCCTTGCCTGAAAGCCAGGTTCAAAAGTAAATTACTTGAACTTTTTTGTTTTTAAATTTATGAAAATGGATGAATGTTATCCGTAACATGAGATTTATGAACTTCAATTGATTTCTGTAATTCAGGAATGGAACACAATCAAACAATTATTTCCTTCCTGTTTCTTGATGATATATGAGCTGAGTTGGGAGACTAAGATGGCCATTTCGAGCTCATTCTGCTCTCTTCAGTTAGCCACACCCTTTATGGGATTCGAACCTGGGCAGTTTACATACAGTGATTTAACCACCAAGCCACAGGCTCTCCTCCCTCTTTGCCAGCTGAGTCAAGGGAGTATATGCAGGAAGTTTTTCAGACAGATGTCTAATTGATTACACCTTGACATTTTTAAATATATATATATATTTCCCACAAATCTCTGATTCTACATTTGAATAATATATAGATGCTAGAATTATCAGGTCAAACACATCTGGTTTAACAATCAAAATATACTGCTATGCAATGATTTCTTGCTACATTTTTATAATATTTGAGGAAGAAAACATCTTGAGCATTACAATGGGTTACATAGAAATAAGTCCTGTTGATGTCAACAGAATTATCTTCCATATAAACAGACCTCTAACACTTTCTATGTGAAACATAACCATCAGAAAAATATAAATCATTTTTTTGAAAATATTGATATTGGAAGATATGCATAAGAGCACCAGCATATGGAATTTTGCTCTGTAATTAGAGTAAATGGTTGATGTTGCTTAAAAATGAGACTTGTATTTTTCTGTGTATATAACAACTCATTGAGTTTTTTTAAATAAAATCTAACATAAAGAGAAAACTTTGAGATTAAAATATCTCACTTCCTACACATTTCCGCCCCAAACTATATTTTTCTTCTAGGCATGAATAACATTTCCCAAGACTTGTCCTTTAGTGGTAGGTAATTTTAGAGGAACCACATGCAGCTCAGCCAAAATGTCAGGCTTCATCTGCCTCTCAAATTTAAGAAAACATATGTATGCAGAATGTAATCCTTAAAATAATTTTCTGATACTTACATATTTATTATATTTTAATGTGCCCAATATTCTTTGATTGGATAAAATGAAAATCCAGTTTTTTTAAAAAAGCAGCAAAATAAAGTTTATAGAATTTACCAATTTTAAAATACCTAAACATTGCTATTTCCCAGAGATATAATTAAATTTATGTCACTATAAAATCTGTGACCTAAACCCTAAAATACCATGTATAACAAGAATGAAACTGTACTACTATCTCAGTTAATATTAATTATTCATTCAGAATATGAATCCTCTTTCTAGGACATTTGGCATCAGAAGATTAGATTCTTCATCTAAATATGCATTCCTCTAATACATATTTAGTTGTAGTGAATTTTCCTAAGCTTCCCTTTTCCTTCTCTTTCCCTTTCCCTTTCCAAATATGGTGCCTTCCGTAAATGTCTATTTTGCCAAGTCTTGGCTTTGATGACTAGAAATTATAACAGTCATACTCCAGCATTTCTAGAGTATGCCAGATTGGAGAAGTCTAATAGATATAGTCAGAAAATCCTTGGATTGTTGGAATAACTTTTCAACTAAATCTACATCTGGACTTCTAGAATACAGAATATGTTTTCCATCTGATATTGTCACAGAATCTGTGGTTTAACTTCGAAATTCAGCTGCCATCCACAAATTTAAACAACTCACATTAAATGTCAATCACTGTTCCATCTCTCCAATATTTTATTCTATTGTACCCTTCATCTGAATTCCATTGTTCGAAATAGTGAGCTTCATAACCTTAGAGTATATTCAGTTTTCACCATATGGTTTAAGTTTTCACACTAAAGATCCTACCTACTTTCACAAATGGCTCTGCTACTTCTATGATCCTTACCAAAAAATGGCAATGCCATTTTGATTTCGTTTTGGTTTATATCCCGTCTTTCTATGTGCATGAGTATGCAAGGCAACTGAAAATAACTAAAATATAAAGTACAGAATGAAAAGCTTAAAAGATTAATTAAAGTATATATTAAACTTAAATCTGACATTAACATCCTGTTGAAAGATACATGAGTGAACCACCCTGTAGGGTAGAGAGAATAGAGGTAATGGTGTCTGGCTAACAATGCAAAAGATGGTCCTGTTTTGCTGCCTCATTATGACAGAGGAGGGTGTTCCTGGGGGGGTTGAGTAAAAAAACCCAGAGAGCATATGCCAAAACCATAACCATGGTGACGATCACTAAAGTGACATTTCATATTGGGTGAGAGAAGGCAAGTAAAACATTCCTGCATTATAACAACAACAACACAACAGTGATGATGATGTCAGCCCTTCAAGATAAACAAGAAAACCAATACCATATGCTGTAGGTCATGGGTGTCAAACGTGCTGCGTCACGTGACATGTGACATATCGCAATTTTTTTGCATTGCCGGAGTTGGGGTGGGTGTGGTCTCCACATGATGCAACAGGCCCACGGGACGTCAGGTTAACACTCCTGCTGTAGGTCAATACTACTGTTCTTGTAAAGCTATAGTAACAAGCTTTCAGTCTGAAATCTACTTTCCCTCCCTCCCTTTATCTTTGTGTGAACTAGGGAAGGTCTTGTGTAAGATGTTTACTCACTTTATATTCTTGTCCTGGGCTCAGGCCCATTTATCTGTTGCCTTAGTAGTAGCTTTTTCCTGTCCCTCAAGGCCATTCCTTGGCCTTCTACAACTAATAATTTATTAAAGGAGCCACCTAATTCTTAATGAATCTGGGCAGTTGTTACCAGGAAAAGCACATGGATAAAAAATATAAAATGATTTATGATTCAATAGTAAAGGAACAAGCAGTCAAGAAATAACCTGCTGATTAGTAGAACAGCCATGAAAGTCTTGGAAATGATATTCAGGTGCCATAATGAACAGAATAGTATAAGCAATTGTATTCCCTGTGACACACTTTGAAGCAAAAGTTAGATTTTGAAGAAGCAGGATAGGAAGTGTATTGATGCCTTTGAATTTTGATGTTGGAGGAATCTCCTAAGATTACCATAGGTAGCCAAGAAAACAACAGGTTACCAAACAACGCAATTCAGAGTTCATTTCAGAGTAGAAATGACCAGGGACAGATTTTCCTACTCTGAACACATTATGAGAAGATCCAACTCTGTAAAGAAAGCTTTGATGTTGAGAAAAGTAGAGGAAAGGAGAGGAAAGGGAATGACCAACAGCAAGGCAAACAGATTCAGATACAGTGGTAGTGGGTGCACCATTGGAAGACCTGAAGGTGATTGCTAAGTTTAACAGTATCGCCTTAAGTAATAGCCATCCAGAGACATTTAGAGTTGGGTGGCATACAAATTTAATAAATTATTTTACCAGCAACTATCCAATACACTATTGTGTTGTTTTTAGTAAAGCAGAAACAAATGATGATAACAACAAAAAGCTATATAAAGCAAATCAGTTAGCTAGTGTCCTTCAGCAAGGATCCACTTACCTTTCAATTTTAGATCTACATTATGTCTCAGCCAAGGATAGATTCCATAATTTGAATAATCTTCTGGTATTGGATTATCTTGTAACCATCCTTCACAGGCAAATCGGAAAAAGTTATCACAGGGGTCCACAGACGTATTTAGCTTGCTTTTGATGGAGGCAGCTGAAAAAGTTATATAATTTCATGGATCATCAGTTGATAATATTAATTGCTATACAAGCACGCAAATCACTTCCAGATTTATGATTACTTTTTCTGGCTTTATTTATTCCCTTTACTTCCACATAATTAATTTCACCATTTAACCTATCCCATCTGACTTTGTTCAGGTAGGCTACGATTTCAAAAGGAAATGAAAATGAAAGGAAAGAAATCTTTCTTAAGTATTGGCCAATCTTACTTCTTTCCTTGATTTTCAAGTTACAGATTTTGGGTTATTCACTAACATTTTGGCTTTCATTTTTCTGGCTACATCTGGATTTTCTCAATCTGTCACTGCAAGTGACCTTGCTAAAATCTCGGGGGATCTTTTGGTTGGCACCTCTAGATTATTTCTCTTCTCTTCATCTTCCTTTAGCTTCTGGTTATTGAGGTGGAGCCTTTGATGCTGTCAGCACCGCTACCTGTCAATTAAATCCTTGTCCCTCCTGGATGGTGAAAGCCTCCAGGATGGTGAGTAGTGGGCAAATCCAGGCAGTGATTAATATGTTACTGGAGGAGGGGACATTTCAGGCTGCTTTTAAAGAAGCCCTGGTTTGCCTTCTCCTTAAAAAAGACCATCACTGGATCCCACTTGCCTAGACAATTTTTGTCCAGTTTCCAACCTCCCATTCTTAAGAAAGGTTGTGGAAAAGGTGATTGCCTGGCAGCTGCAGAGGGTCCTGGATGAAACAGATTATCTGGACCCCTTTTAGTCAGGATTCAGGTGAAGTTATGGGATGGAAACAGCATTGGTCATGCTTGTTGATTATCTCTGGCAAGAGTGAGAGGGGGGTAGTACAACCATCCTTGCTCTCCTTGACCTCTTGGTGGCTTTTGATACCATTGACCAGGGTATTCTTTTGAGCTGGCTGCAGGAACTGGGGATTGGCAGTATAGTTCTGCATTGGTTTGGCTCCTTTCTCTGTGGCTGTTCCCAATCTGTACTAATAGGATGTGAGAAGTCCAGCCCTCAGCCACTATTTTGTGTACTCTCTCCATTCCTTTTCAACATTTATATGAAACTGCAGAGTGAGATTACCCATCAGCAGAGGTTGAGGCATTATTAAATGAAAAGCCTGACAAATATCAAAACTTCATTATTTACTTTATGAAAGTTTTATCATTTACTTGACTATTTGAGGAACATTTAATGTATCTCAATAAAATATATTTGCATTGATTTACTTATGTATTTTTAATTTGATTTGGGGGGGATGTTTATATTGATTACAGTTGAATTCTATCTCAAACTGCCTAATAGGAGAACTTAGTTATGAAATGAAGGGATCCATCTGAGAAGCAGCAAAACTGACACTGCAGAGAACTCTGTCTGCTTGCTAGGACTCACACATTCAAAATGTCCCAAATCATTTCAAAACATGGGTACCACTTCAGTGGGCAACTTAGCAGGGATGTAAAAGGAGCCCCGATTGAGCATTCCCTGGGCAATGGTGATGTCACTGTTCAATCCTTTCAACCCAGAAATGGGTTCAACCCAACACAACACTATAGTAGTATTTCAAAGCATGAAGCCCCAATTATGTCCATTAACACTGTCAAAATCTCCTCCTGATCTGAGAGCTTTGTACATCCAATGCTATAAGAATTCTTTGCAGCAGCCTATCAGATGATTCTTCTAGAAAGAAGTAAGCTACCTGAAAAAGGATTGCCTCTTTCTTAGAAGAGACATCAACTAGCCCAAGGTCTCCTGGTTTCTCTTGATGCTGGCTCTCCCTGAACCGATAGAAATACATTATCAATGGTTAAAATGGTTTTCAATTTATTAAAGATTCCTGAGATCCAAAAGGAAAGGAAAGAGTTTACATCTCTTTGCACCAATATGCTTTATCTATAATAAAAGAAAAGTAATACTTTACTTACCAGCTTCAATGCATTCAGGAGTCAAGCAATATTGTTGCTTTGCATAAAATTTGATGTGTCCTTGACTAACTGCAAAAGGAAAAGAACAAGATTGTGGCCATCTTTGGCTCTACAAATATTTTTCATGAATCCAAAGACATTAGTTGGGTGATTACAACAATGCTAGTACAGAAGAAAAAGATGTCAATCTGATGATATAATACCTTCCTCAAAACAGAATATATTTTGTATATTATCAACCACTTGTTCACTCACCACACCAGTTTGATTCAGAAGCAACACCCGTGAACCTTTTTATTACTAGGAAGTATGGAGATGATATAGCAGCCACATAGAATAACTAATTGCCACCAAACTGGGAGATAGGTTTAGAGTGATGCAGAGAATCTATGGCTGATGGAGTTTTGAACCTGATCTATATCCTGATCCAACCATTATATGATACTGAAGTCAGTCCAAAATTAATCTGCTAATCAACAGAGCACTGAAATGTTTACTTGTAATTTGCTTCCTTTTTCCACACACACAAAAAAGACAACAATTAAGACACAGGAAGAAACAAAAGCAGTATTTAACATTCTTGTTAACTGTAAGTAAAAATTGAAGTGGAAAATTTGGGTATGTTCACTGTACTCTCATCAGCTATCATATGCATTTGAGCAGCCATTTTGTGAGATTTCCTAAATCCAAATGCCTCAAACTCAATGTTTGGGGACACCTATACTTGCCTAAGCTCTAAAAATGCTAAAAATGCTGTCTCTGTCAACAAAAACGTCTTAGGGAAGAATAAACAGGATGAAGGGGAAGAAGAAGAAAATAAGGAGATTAACCTTTCCAGATCAACAAATCCTTTGGGAAGACCTTAAAAAACCTCTTTCATCTTCAGTCAATACTTCAGATTTTTTTTTTAAATGTTTCTTGTTTCTATAACTTCACAGTTGCTTTCCTTATCCTGTATTCCTCCAAATATTTCAATGTGACAATGGTCAGGAATCATAAGAAGTAGCTTCATGACACATCGAAAAAAAGATTGCCCTTTCTTGCTCCAATAGCTAATGGTAAAAAGAGTTTATCTAGTCCTTACTCCGTATATTTGCCAGCATTCTTCATCCAGAAGGAATGACAAAACGGGTTACATATGGCAATGATACAAATTTTTACCCTCTTGCTTATGTGTCATGACAATTTGCTTGGACAACAAATCCTCAGCCAACAGGTCTGTTACATTTGGAGTAATAATTTGGGAAAACTTTATTCCCCAAAAAGTTACTTGATGGGGAAGGAATTTTTAGTGGCTGGATCCCCTATTCAAATTTCTTTCAGTCCTACAATTCTATGATTATGTAGGAAGAATATCTACTATGACTAGGAATAGTGGTCACACACCCAATCTGGTGTTCTTATTGGAGCAATGCCTATGTGACCTGGAATTGGTAGGCTTGTCTTTGGTACCCGTCATGTCAGATCACAGTCTGGTGGCAATGAGTTTCTCAAGAGACATACCCCTCCTCAGTGAAGCAGAACCTATTAGGTCTGTCCACCCTGGCAACTAATGGATCTGGATAGGTTTCAGAAAGAAGTGGGGTTAGACCTACCTAAGCTCTAGATCTGCTGCACAGTCCTGCTGAATTTTTTGTCAGTGTTTGGAATAGAAAGATGGCTGAAGCTATGGATAGGATTGTGTCCATGTGGTTAGACCTACAGATCTGCTGCACAGTCCTACTGAATTTTTAGTCACTGTTTGGAATAGGAAGATGACTGAAGCTGTGGATAGGATTGTGTCCATGTGACCTCTCTTAACCCATACTGTAGACCTTTGTCCCCCATGGTATGCAGAGGAATTGAGAAGGATGAAATGAATGAAGAGACATCTAGAGTGCCACTGGCAGAAGATAAGAAACAACTCAATCAAACATAGGTGAGAGCTGTTATTAAGGCTATTCATGGCAATCTGAGTGACGAAGCGTAAGTATTTCAGCGCACTAATTGTACCTGCAGATAATCAGCCAGCAGCCCTCTTTAAGGTGAACTGTCTCCTGGGAAAGGAGGATACAGAGGTCCACCTGAGGGGAGATGCTGAGGAAATTACTGATTTTCTGGAAGACAATATCATTTGTCTTCATTCCCAGTTAGATGCCAGCATGGTTGCTGGTCCAGTGAAAGCATGTGGAGCAGGTTTTTGCCCAGTTATCTGGGAATGGTTTGACCCTGCTACCCCTGAGGGTGTAGACAGGTTCCTAGGGAGTGTGTGTGCAAGCTCCTGTGTTTTAGCATCTACCCCTCCTGGCTTGTGAAAACTTCTTGGGAGGTGACATGTAGGTGAGTTCTGGAAATGATTAATGTTTCTTTTTGCGAGGAGGTTGTGCCTCAGCATTTTAAGAAGACTGTGATCCACTCTCTTCTTAAGAAGTTGTTGCTAGATTCCACCCTGTTGGATAATTTTTTACCAGTCTCCAATCCTCTCTTTTGGGAGAAAGTTGTTAAGAAAGTGGTTGCATGACAGCTCCAGAGGTTCCTGGATGAAATGGATTATCTAGACCAGGATGTCAAACTCACGATGTCAGGTGATGTTGTGCGATGTATTAGAGCTTTTTTGCCATTGCCGGCAATGGGGTGGGCGCGGCTCCGGTATGATGAAACCAGCCCGCAGGCTGGCAATTTGATACCCCTGATCTAGACCCTTTCCAGTCAGGGTTCAGGTCTGGATATGGGGCAGAAATGGCTTTGGTCATATTTTTTGATGAAGTCTGGCATGGGTGAGTTGGGGATAGTGCATCCATCCTTGCTTTACTTGACCTTTTGTCAACCTTTGATACCAGTGACCATGATATCCTTCTGGAACAAATTTAGTGGTTGGGAATGGGGGGGGCTCTGTGTTGTCCTGATTCACTTCCTTTCTCTATGGCCACTCTCAATTGGTATTGATAGGAAGCAAGAGGCCCAACCTTGTCCCCTGCTTTGTGGGGTCCCTTAGGGCTCAGTACTCTCTGCTTCTATATAACATCTACATGAAGCTGCTGGGTGAGACCATTGTTACCATGGATTGAGATATCATCAATATGCTGATGACACCCAGCTATATGTCTTTGTCCATGGTGAGTTAAGTGATGCTTCGAGGCTGTTAAGGACTGGATGGAGAGCAAAGGCTGAAATTGAATCTTGACAAGACCAGGTAGCTTTGAGTTTGGAATTCTTTAGTCCACAGAGAATCGCCGTCTCTGGCCTTGGGTGGGATGGCACTGCCTGGACAGATTCATGTGTAATCTGGGTGTTCTCCTGGACTCATGACTCCTGCTCAAAATTAGGTTGTGTTCCAGTTATGCTCTTTCCTGGATCAACAATCCCTGCTCACAGTCACTCATACCCTAGCCACTTTCTGTCTTAACTATTGCAACATGCCCTACCTAGGGTTACCCTTGAAAAGCATCCAGAAGATCATTGGTTCAAAATGCAGTGAATGCCATGGTTCTGTGCAGACCCAGGTATGCACATGAGTCACCTCTCATGTGGGACCTTCATTGGTTGCCAATTTGCTTCCCGGTGCAATTCAAGGTGCTGGTTGTCACCATTAAAGCCATACATAGCTTGGGACCAAGATATTTAAAGGACCATCTCTTCCCAGGGTCTTCTCTATGGTAGCTCTCTCCCTGTGGAACATCATCCCCATTGAGTTTAGACTGGACCCCACTTCGATATTCTTTCACAAGGACCTGAAAACCTGGTTTTGCCAACAGATTTGGGGAACCCAGAAAGGGATGGAACCCATCAAATATTTGATTGCTTGTTGTCACCAGGGGGAGAGGGTAATAGATTTTACTCTTTTAATATTTTTTGTAAGCTGCTTAGAGTCACTGAAAGTGAGTGAATAGCCATATAAATTCTCTAAATAAAACAAATAAGTAAATACCATTTCCTAAGTAAAATAGATTCAGTATTATTTTGCAATAGGTATCTTGTTTTAATAAGTACAGTCATATGAAATTTCTGTGCTATAAATTTGATCAGATTTTTAACATTTAAGAGTTGTGACTTGCTGAAAACACAAAACATCTGGGGGGCATTTGATAGGGGAAAGCTGCCCTGCAATTTCTCTGCGGAGCTCATTTGTTAAATGGACATTGACAGTGAGCCCCATTTATATATGTCAGCAAGGGTTATCCCCAACCATTACTAAATGTTTGGGAGGAAGTCATCTTTCAGCTACTTTGGTTTCGTTGGAACTGAAGAAGAAACTCTATTCCCCTCTTAATAAAGATTTAATTATTCATTTGGGAATCTTTAGTTTTATCATTTCAAAAGCATAGATAAGAATGCACAGTCAAAATTTATAGAATATTTTGATGCACACCTAAGTTTACTTTTTTGATGTACACAATGGAGCTTAACAGAAATCAAATGGAATAAGGATCCTCAATAGATCCATCGAGATTATGCATAAATTTCAAGCTTTGAAAGACATAATTTATTTTTATACAAAAGCCACATGTTAATTGTCAGTATTTAGGAGAAACAATGGTTTGGTTTTTTTAATTCCAAAGTAATTCTCACTCTTTTTTAACAAAAATGTGTCCTACTTTTTTATATAATATTGTTATCAATTTATAGCACTGGATAAAGACATTATGATTAATATTGCTATAGTTCATTATTCACAATTTATTCAAGGTTTTAAACTGTAACTTGATAAAATGCATTGGTATTTGTAGACCTTGGTTGCTTTTTAGTTAAAATGTGAGTAGCAAAAAAAGGAATAAATGAATATTCCCAATCTTGTTCAAACAAATAATAAGAGCAGTTTACCAGATTCTAAATTGCAACTGCTGTAGAATCCTAAAGAAGAAAAATACATCTCAGGACCTTTCAAGCCTCCAATGCAATCTTTAACCTGGAAACAGAATCTCCAGCAGTAAAACTACAGTAATTTTTCCAATTAGGGAACCTTACAGTTTGCTTAGAAGAGTTACCTAAGATGAAATGGCAATACCACTGCAGACAGAATTTTGCAAAATCGTATTTATGCTAGTGCAATAGATTGAAACTTACCCAGAAAAAGGGCAATGCTAAGCACGACTGTGCTGCTCACAAACACACCAAGAGACAGTTTGAGAAGTTTGCTGGCTGCTCTCTTGTTGGCTGGCATCGACCTCCCGGTTGTCTCTCCTTCCATCAGGGTAGATTTTCACAACTCCCTGAAAAAAAACCACGGTTTTTCGTTCTTCTGCTGTTTTTTATTGTTGACTTCTTCAAATCACTTTTATCACTGAGTATTTTAGCAGCTAACACTGCTGTCAAAACTCATTTCCAAATATTTAACTCTTTCCAAAAGTGGGAGTGGATGGGGGGGGGGAGAAAAAACATAAAATGCAGTATTAAATTCCTTCCTTGATCAGGACTTGGAATGGCACATAGTGACAATTTAATTTGTAGCTCAGGCCAATTTTTGTCAGCAGTGCAGGACAGAAAAAAAATCACAGTAGTGTCCCAATATATTGTTTCACCATTCAAGTTTATAACAGTTAAAAAAAAAAACTAGATTTCTGATAAAATTTTGCAGATATTAGATTGATTAAAAAAATTCTTAAGCAATTAGATTATCTGCTGAATCTCATTCATTTTCTAGATGCTGCATCATTTCCCTTTACAGAATAAATCTTCTCCAACTACAACTCCTTTTAAAGCTCCAAGGAGTTCTGGGGATGACTTACACTGTTTTTATTTTAGGAGATTTGTTTATGACATCAAGTGCCAAAGATCAGAGTCATGCTTATGTGGAAGGCAACCTTGTTATTAAAACAACCTACAGATGGGGTTTTTTAAGCAAAAAAAATGAACAAGTTATTTTTTAGTGCCTGTGGAGTTTCTAAAGGTTCTATGCAAATATTATGCAAGAATAAAGCTGCAGTAAAGTGCTTTTATGAAGACAGGAAAAACAAAATGTATTAAATAATAATGTTGTACCTGGTTGCAGGCTGATATGCTACAAATGTAGAGTTTGCACTTTCAAAAGTTAAAGCTGGGAACAATTCATTTAGAACAGATTCAAAGAAACTCAATTAAAACTCAAAAATGAAAGACTGAAGACAAGAAAGTCACTTTCTTCTATTAATTGTCATGCTTAAAATATCCATTTGGTTTGTTGAAAGAAAAATCTTCATCATGGTCCAATCCAAGCTACATTTCTAAAAGCTGGTCTGCTTGGTTTCTGCTTGGGGGAGGGAGACCTGGGGCTGTCTTTGCCTAAGATTTTTCATTATTCCTTTGGGGAAATATAATATTTTGTCCTTTTTAATATCCCTCCAAAATATTTCCTTTTCTAGGAGGGTGGGTGAGTGCTGACTTCCAACAATAATCCCCCCTTTGTGCCATATAAGTGTGGGTGACATACTTTTACTGGCACAAGATTAAAAATTGATCTGGTCAGGGAGACTTGATAAACAAGCTTTTAAACTGTTAATTGAAGAAAAAAAAACAGATGAAACTAATAGAGGCAGCAGAAAAAGATCCCTGCGGCGGCTCCCAAAAGGGGAAGCCTTTCAACCACGAAGGTCTAAAAGTCAGGGCAAAAGTTCTGTTAGGTGGAAAATAAATTTATAGTGTCTAATATTCTGTGCCAATTATTTTCAAATGTTGGATGTCACTTTCTGTGAGCTTTTCAGTCTGGTTTTTTTTTTTTTTTTTTTTTGAAGCACATGCCCCCAAACCCCTCTCAGCCATGTTTTGCCTCAGTACATAACAAATGGCTGCCCATTTTCAAGGGTCGCTTACTGAACTTGCCTTAGCTCTTAGTTTAGTACATCCAGGTTTGTGATGTCCAATTGGGGTTAGCCAGTGTGCAAGCAAGACTATATTTCTTAAATTGCACACAGTGAGCTCTAGGACTCCCACTATGAGTCCACCAGTGTAACATATTCAGGGCTTGGTTTTGGAGATCTCTTTCCTGCTACCTCCTCAGTGAGGGCATATGAATTGCAAATTGCCTGAGGGGGCCTGGTTTCCTTCCCCATGGAATTTGCAGGAAAGTGTGCAAGCAAAGGCTTTAGTGCCACAGAGCAAGAACCATCCTGGGGAACTTTACATAGTGGTAGATGAAGGGGATAGCCTCAATGTGATTCTGAATGGTGTGTATGTGCACGTGCATGTGTGCACGCAGCTATACAAATATCCTGGATAATTTTTTTCTCCCACAAGTCAGAGGTCCAAGGTGTTCAGGACTTGCTGTTCCACCATTCCAAATGCCATCCCTCCATGAATCCTCTCAACTGGCTTATTACAGTACAAATGAGGCAAGAAAGAAAACTTTACAATGGATTTCAGCCCTTCCCACGTAGTCTTTCCAGTTGTCTTCTGAGGCTTCACGTGAGGGCCAATGGCTCCTGACTCCTTCTTTCCTCTGCAGCTTTCACAGGCATCTGGATGATGGGTGAAGTAGGGTTTGGGAAGATCTGTTCCATTCTGGTTGCATGGTGACTTTCTAGTGGATGGCTGGATTCAAACCCAATTCTCTGGTTCAAATGAATGGAGGCAGTGTCTGGGTCAGTGTGCTCTGCTTCCAAAGGTTGCTGAGTCATTTGTGCAGGGCTGAAAGACATGAGAACAGGGTCCCCTCCCCCCTTTGTGAGTGACTCTCCCAGGAGAGGCATTGCTGGTCAGACATAGGCATGGAGAACAGAGGATAAGATATGGAGAAGTGGAATGGGGGGTGGATAGCTTGCAGGCAGGTTTTGAAAAGACATAAATACTGCATTTATTAGAAACAGATAAACAGACAAAATGGGGACACCAGAGATGAGGAGAAAAGAGAAGCTGGATTCTGGTAAGAGAACAATAACAAAAATGAAAGATCTCACTTCTGAAACTGAACATTTGCAACATGTTAAAGAGGACTTAAGGACTTGCAACTTGAAAATGCTTGGCAGCTTGAGAATGCTGAAAGCTCCAAATAAGCCTAAAAATAATAAGCCTCATATTTTCATGTGTACAATTTGTGAAGTCATGGAGAATCTACCTTTAACATTTATTTTAAAATAGACCACATTATTTTAGAGATTGAAAAATGCTTATATGTTCTAGGTTTAGTTCCATAGTGGTTTTAGTGATTAATGATGGGATAAGAAAAGTAACTTAACAAGAATTTCCCTACACAAGGAAACTTGAGCTCATGAAGTTCTTGTAGGTAGACACGTCTCTTGTTTCAGGAAAAGGATAGACAGATAAAACTCATTTACAACACATACAGAAAATACACAAATAAAACAAGAAAGTGAACAAAAAAATCCTTCTAAATCTTAAAACACTCCCTCCTAACAAGGGAAGGCAAAAGGGAATTCAGTTCTCTTCACCCTATTTTGTTGGCCCAACATATTAGGGTGAAGATTTTTTTCTTTGTTTTGTTTATTTTAACTCTCTTTTTTTAGCAGAATTTAAAATTCTTGCCTCTTTGGATTAGAAACATTTAACAGTTACATTTAGTTCACAGACAAAGACTTTGACACACATACATACGCACACAAAGACAAGGGAAAGAGAACAGCATAGGAAACAGAACTCTTAGTTTTACACATCCTGGTCATTCCCACCATAAATCTCGGTTAAATCAAATTAGTGAAGGCACATATCACATGGTTTCAGAGAGAGGGGGGGAGGGAGAGAGAGAGAGAGAGAGATTACTATTCCTATATTTTATTTTCCTTTTTCTTTTAAATACCTTTATTTAGCCAAATTGGTTTCCCAGCAAAGCCCTAAGCAAAGACTACTTTTTATATAATTGGTGTGCACAGTTCTTTTTAATCCCGCCTGGACAAGTAACCTTTTTTAGATCCCAGGCTTTTAGCAGTATCCCTAAAGGAGACATTGGCAGAACTTTAGAAACAGAGCTTCCCATATCTTCAGGCAAGACTCTGACCTGTTTACCTGCAGTGAATCATTTTCTTTACTCTCCTGCATCCCCAGAGTCACTCTTTCCTGGAGTCCCCTGTTCCGGCAAGGCAATCTTTCAGCCCTTGTCCCTTGGCAAGGCGACTTTTAAAGCCACCTTAGCCTCTTGGCAAGGTAACTTTTGAAGCCACCCTAGCCCCTTGGCAAGGTGGCTTTTGAAACCACTCTAGCCCCTTGTCCCAGTTTCAGGCCATAGGGGGGTCTGGGAGGACTCTGATTTCCTTTTGCCGAGTATATGTGTCCCTCCTGGAAGAGTGGAACTTTGCCTAGAGGTTTCAGCCAGTTGCCCAGATTCAACTCTCTCATTCACTCATTCCTTTCCATTTTCACACAGCCTCTCCTTTTTCCCTAACAAAAGATCCTGCACTCTGGCCAAACCCCCATGCTTTCCAGGGTTGTTGGTTGAACAGATCTTTTGGTGGTTAGGAAAGGCCAGAGGAAGCAAGATCCAGCTGTAATTGGGAGAAGGGTCTTCTCATTCACACACACAGACATACACACATTTCCCTTACTCCCCTGGGCTTTAAAGTTAAAATTTTGAGGTACTCACCTTCTTTCCAAAGCAGCCCTTTAGCTCAAACTCAAAACTCCCTTTACTACCCTTACTCCAAGTGGACAGGGTCTGGGAAATCCACCCACAGACACAAGGGGTCTATTGCTGGCAAGATGGAGGCTTACCCAGTCCTAGCCTATTGGAGAGGTTAGCTTAAAGTCCCATTCTGGGTGCCAAATTGTTGAAAGAAAAATCTTCATCAAGGTCCAGTCCAAGCCAGGAATAAACAAAATGGAGACTGCTTTAGAAAGAAGGTTGTAGTTTATTGAAGAGCAGAGCCAGACAAAAATGTGGTTCTGGGAAAGCTGACCACATGAGCAGGAAGTGGTGGGTTTTTATACTTTCATGGGCTTTTGTGTTTGGAGTTGTTCCTGTGGCATGAACTTTGACCTGAGGTTCAGTGTGCCTTTCTGATATTCTAATGGTAGTGGGTTAATCCTATTATGTCCCAAAGGTCATGTCCTGCTTCCCTGGGGCTGTGGCTGATGGCTATGTCCTGTGCTGGATTTTTCAGATGAGGGGTTGTTGGTTCTAGGGATCTTTGTCTTTTTAATCACATCAGTCTAAGCTTCCTGGTGCAGTCTTTCTGAAAGGATTATCAAATCTACATTTCTAAAAGCTGGTCTGCTTGGTTTCTGCTTGGGGGAAGGAGACTTGGGGCTGTCTTTGCCTAAGATTTTTCATTATTCATTTGGGGAAATATAATATTCTGTCCTTTTTAATACCCCCCCCCAAATATTTCCTTTTCTAGGAGGGTGGGTGGATGCTGACTTCCAACAGGCTTTAATGGGCTGCAGAGCAGAAATCAATACATGACATGAGGCTTTAATCCTTCTTCCCCCCTGCTGGTCCCAGATATTCCTTACTCGTACGCACTCGGATGCTATTTGCTATGAGAACAGACTTGTAATTGGTAGCAATAGGCTCAGTCCTGTTGGATAATTTCTAAAGAAACCAGGAAAGGCTTCCTCATCAGATGCTCTAGTTAAGTATCATTCTCCAGTTAAACTAAGAGCAAGTAGATTGGATTGGATTTGTCCGCTAAAGCAATTATATAGTGAGAATTACAATCTGACAGTGTTTAGAGTTGTTTTCTATGCTGTATTGTTGTTGATTCCTTGTATTTTCAGCTTCTACTAATTATTGTAGGGCAAAATATGATTTGTTTTAACTGGGCTTGAATGC